ATTTGTAGAGGTAGAGAATGGAATCAGAAGTAAGGAAATGGCGAGCACGATAAAGAGAAGCAACCTTAGCAGAAGCTAATTTAGCAATCGATTGTATATATGGTTTCCATGAAAGGTCAGTAGTAAGCGATAATCCAAGAAGACGTAAAGAGGAGGACTCAGTAAGAGGATTGCCATTCATTAATATAGGAATGTTGACCATATTATGGTAGTTGTTTGCAGTAAACAACTGGGTTTTTTTAGAGTTGAAATTCACAAGCCACTGTGAACCCCAATCTATTACTGAAGTAATATCGGATTCAAGATCAGCTGCTTGTTCTAGGCGATCGAAAAGAGAAGACTTTTTGTCAAGACAGGAGTATAAAGTTGAGTCATCAGCAAAAAGAGCTACTTTAGATGAAAGGTTGTCAGGAAGATCGTTTATGTAGATAAGAAACAAAACAGGGCCCAGGATGGAACCTTGGGGAACCCCAGAAGTTACTGGAAATAAAGAAGAGTGTTGGCCTTCAAGGATGACTTTAATAAACCGGTTAGAAAGAAATGATTTGATAATCTCAAAAACTTTCCCAGAAACGCCATAAGAAGCAAGCTTATGGAGAAGACCAGCATGCCAAACTTTGTCGAAAGCTTTAGATATGTCGAGAGCAATAGCCCTAGCCTCACCGCCTCCATCTAATGCAGGATAAAATCTTTCATTTACAGCAGTTAGCAAGTCGGCCGTAGAGCGAGAGTATCGAAAACGGTATTGATTGTCTGACAGTAGTTTATTTGACTCAAGATGAGATGTGAGGAATTTGTTGATCAAAGACTCAAAGACCTTGCTAATAACAGAAAGAAGACTGATCGGATGATAATTGGAGGGGTCAAAATATTTTCTAGAGTTTTTGAATATTGGAACCACAGATGCCATTTTCCAACAAGCAGGAAAACAAGACTCATTCAAACACTTGTTAAATAGTTTAGAGAGAATTGAAGAAAGTTCTGGAGAACAATTCTGCAAGACTGTGACAAGAATGTTGTCTGGACCACAAGCTGTAGACGAGTTTAATTGAGATATGACTTTAGCAACAGAAGCCGGAGTGATTTGAATGTCTAACAATGGGTCAACCTGTTTAACTGGAATGGAAGGAAGAGAATGTCCATAAGATTCAAGAGTGGAATTAGAAGAAAAGTTCTTTGCAAATAGTTCTGCCTTATCCTTGGGAGAGGTAATAAGATCAGTCCCATGAATGAGTGATGGAATGCTAGATCTACCCTTGTTAATAATGCTGTTGAAGATTTCCCAAAAGTCTTTAGAGCCTAACTTCTGCGATAAGATGCGAGATTTAGTGAACTGAGAATAATGGAGTTTAGCATCAGAAAGCACCTTTTTACATCGATTTCTTGCAATAATAAATAGCCGTTTGTTCTCAAGAGAGTTGTTCTTTTGAAAAAGATGAAAAAAATGATTGCAATTGGATATAGCAGCCACACAAGAAGGAGAAAACCATGGAGTAGAATGAGGCTTGACTTGAAACTGACGCGAAGGAATAAAAGCTTCCATTCCAGCCTGAATCCAGGAGGTTATGTAGGAGGCGCATTTGTCAGCTGAGAGAGAAAAAACATCAGCCCAAGGACCATCACGAAGAAAATCACGAAAGGAATCCCAGTCAGCTTTAGGGTAGTAGTAGGTGGTGCGATGATAAGGTGAGCCCAAAAAAGAAGTACGAGAACAAAGATTTATAGAGATCATTGCATGGTCAGAACCACCTAAGGGAGAAAAGGGAGAAACTGAACATAAGCTAGGGTCAGAGACAAGACATAAGTCAAGGAGTGAAGGTAAATGATTAGGGTTGTCAGGAAAACGAGTCACAAAGTTAACTATCTGAGTAAGAGATTGAGAAACGCAGAAGTTAAAGGTTTTAGTGCCAGCAGGATCAGTGGTGTTAGAGCCAAGCCATTCAGTGTGATGGGCATTAAAATCACCAACAACAACAATATTGGCAGAGGGGTAAAGAGAGAGGGCATGGTCAGTTTGATCAGAGATAACATCTAAAAGAGTGCAATCATGGGAAGAAGGAGAACGACATAGAACAAAGAGAAAGGTGATAGAGTGAAGAGGTGCTAGGCGAAAGCACATAAAAGAATGGTCAAAGGATTCGAACCTGATTTCACGACAAATAAGGGAATTAATGCGTATGTATACCCCTAAACCTAGCATGTGACTGTTGGAGTCTTTACGAATCAAAGGATAGTACCCATCAACACTGACATCTGAAGAAGGAATTGCAGAATTTAAATTTGTTTCACTGAGTGCAAGCAAGTCTGGTGAATTTTGCAGGAGGTAAGACTCAACTGATGGAAAGTTGCTTCGTAGACCGCGAATATTTGTAAAAGATATATTAAAATATTTAGGTGGTGGGGATGGTTTTTTAGGTTTTAAATTTTTGGTTACTTTGGTCATGATTTGGGTTTAATGAGAACTTGACTCATTCATAGATAGAGCACAGCCTCCTTATCAATGAGCCATGCAGTTGTCTCAGTCCTGTTAATTAACCCTAAGCCGTGACATAGGGCTCCTTATGTGGCCTTGACAATGCACACCAAAAGCATTAACAGGGACACCATCCATGCGCAACATGGCACTGTTAATACTCTGATATTTTGCAGCTGTTGATGGAATCAGCCTCTCTGAGAGCTACCACAGAGTTCGGGAAACCTTACTACCAGCCGGCCTCAGAACCATTAAACTGAGTTTTAGAGCTGTACCCTCATATGGAGATAACAGGAAGAGTTGCATAGCCATTATCAAGGAGGCATAAGCAAAATTCTATGAGTAGAGTCAAGGAGATCCAGCATTCATCATCCTAGGCAGGAAACAATGTAACGCAGGTTACATCTACGCCAGCCTAATAGATGAAGAAGGGGTTCGAGGCTGGTTAGCAGAATTTTTCTGCTTACCCCTAAAGTCTTTGCCTAGGAGGCCTTCTACAAGACAGTAGCTGGATGCAGTTAACATCTGCCCAAGATGAGTATTTTTATCGAGACACCATCTCTAGCCTTTACTCAACCAAGAGCCCCAAGGCAGGGGATGTTTAGCTGGATGCAGTTAACATCTGCCATTAAATATCTTATGTTAAATATCTGGTATTAAATATCTTGGTGTATTAATTGATTGCAATCTTTCATGGAACTTTCATATTGATGAACTAAGCAAGAAATCTCGAGCTAACGGTATGCTTTCAATAGCTCGCCATTATGTCGATAAAGTTACACTTTAGAATATTTACTATACATTATTCTCCTCTCATCTTAGCTATTGTTGTCAGATTTGGGGTCAAGTTGGAAACTATTGCATTAACATGTTGCTATCATCTTAGCGTCAATCCATCAGATTATTAAACTTCCAACCAATTAAATCAGATACAATGAAGTCCTTTAAAAAACTTTTCACTCCAACATTTTCAGCGCTAGTAAAGTATGCTAATCTTCTTTTTATTTTCGACTCCTTAAATAAAAACATACCATCTCCTATCACAAACTTGTTTATCAGTGCGTCTGTGAATGGAACAGGAGCCTTGCATGCATTTTGAATGAGTCCAAAAAAATATATCCTAAAATACCTTTACTTCATTTTAAACAATATCAATTTAAAAAAATTCTGAAAAACTTTTTATTCTAACTTTTAGGCATTATTATCCTTATGAATATAATATATTGTTTTAATTTTCTTTTTGTAATTACTACAATTATCATCAGTACTTTTTGTTTATTTTTTTATTATTTTTATTATTAAAACCTGCATATTGATTTCTACATGTTTGTTTTGATGTATATTTTATGTGCTTTGATCTGTGTGTTTATGTTCCATGTGTTTCAGTGTGTCTTTGCTTATTATTACTTATATTATATTAAAAATTTGTGTCACTTCTTTGATTAGATTTCTGTATGAGTGATACCATCCTAATAAATCATTAACTTATTATTATAAATAATTTTATGCTTGTAACTACCATTATAATATTAGTTATTATTATCATTTTTTCATCGTAATTATTGTAAAAATACTTATTATTACTATTACTATAATTTGTATAAATTTTTTTTTTAATCTTATATTAATTTAATATATTATTATTATTACTATTATTATTATTATTGTTATTATTATTATTATCAAAACTATTGTAAAAATGATTTACAGAAAATAAATAGCTTGTTGTTGTTGTTGTTTTTATTTTAATGAAAAAACTCTTTTTCCTAATGAAGAAACATCTTCTCATGGTTACGTAAGTAACATGTATAAAACTTTTATGCTATAACATAAGTAAAGTTTTTTTGAAGTTTTAGGCAAGGGCTTTCCACAATGTTAAGTGTCTGGCAATGGATGGCTTGATTTCTAATACTATTTCAAAGAAAGTTTTAAGAAAGTTACACTTTATAATTTGATAATTACAATTGAAAGTTACACTTTATAATTTAAACATATTTAATACCTGTTACCTGCCAAACCCACCATTGTGTAAAGTACATAGTTGACATTCCTGTAAAACATTCCATTAAAGTACATTAATGTTTGTGTAAGAAACTGAGAAATTTTAAGTGTTTGTGTAAGAAACTGAGAAATTTTAAGTGTTTGTGTAAGAAACTAAGAAATTTTAAGTGTTTGTGTAAGAAACTGAGAAATTTTAAGTGTTTGTGTAAGAAACTGAGAAATTTTAAGTGTTTGTGTAAGAAACTGAGAAATTTTAAGTGTTTGTGTAAGAAACTGAGAAATTTTAAGTGTTTGTGTAAGAAACTGAGAAATTTTAAATGTTTGTGTAAGAAACTGAGAAATTTTAAGTGTTTGTGTAAGAAACTGAGAAATTTTAAGTGTTTATAAAATATTATAGGTCTAGTGACCATGGGATTTTAAATTTTTATTTTATTTTTGTGAACTCGGTTAATTTGTTAGAAGGTTTTTACTATTCTCTTTAATTAATATTTCTTGGATGTGAAAAATAAATAATTTGTTATTATAGGTGCTTGGTTGCAATTGTGGAACATTTAATGCCGAATGATTATTTTAGTATATCTTTACTTGGTGCACAAGTAGATCAGGTCATTTAAATTTTTTTAAATAGTACACAAAATATGAGAAATGTTTACAAAAAATTTTTTTATCAGTTTTTTTTTATGTAGAGAGTATTTAAAGATTTATTAGAGGAAAAGTTTCCGAAGTTATTTTCACATCTTCAATCAATGCAGTAAGTTTTTTTAAAAAATTTAAATTAATTATTATTAATACATTAAATGATTTATTTTTATTTAAATTATTATTATTATTTGTATTAAAAGTTTTATCTTTTTTTTTAACTACTTAATGTACTTGTAGACAGATCTGTAAACTACAAAACTTTTAGATGCAATAAAAAATCAAAAAGTAAAATTTCTATTTTACCAGGTTCTAATGAAAAATATTCCGAATTTTTCAATGAATCTGATCTTAAAATATAATCTGCTGTTGAAAACTTAAAATTGAAATCTTTGAATATTTGAGGTTGTACAAGATGTTGTTAAAATGTTCATATTTCGTTGTTAAAATGTTTGTATTTTATTGTTAAAATGTTCATATTTTGTTGTTAAAATGTTTGTTTCGTTGTTAAAGTGTTCATATATTGTTAGTAAAATATTCTTATTTGTTTGTTTTGCTCAAAGAAGGAAAAAATTTTAACTCGCCATATTTTCTAAAAATTTTATAAAAAAGGTCTTTTTTATAAAAAAACCTTTTTTATAAAAGTTCCATAAAAAGCATCCTTAACTACATCAAGTAATATAATAATTTATTGTCATAATGACAAAAGTTTAGACTTCACATTCATGTAATTACTTTCTAAATACTTCACTAAAATGAGTTTTTCATATATTTTTATTTTTTAATTCAATCTTCCAACTAATTTTATTAGTTGGAAGATTGAATTAAAAAATAAAAATATATGAAAAACTCATTTTAGTTAACAAAGTCAATCAGAAAATTAATCAATATAAATAAAAGTAAATTTTTGTTTATCTATTTTAAGATTTGATGTGTCATTAATTTCATTCAACTGGTTTTTGACAATATTTGTTGATTTTTTTCCTACAGAGGTAAACATCTTTTTTTTTTTTAGTTTTTTGTAATTTTTGACTAAGATTTTATATTTATATATAAATATATATATATACATATATATTTATATATATTTATATATATATATATATATATATATATATATATATATATATATATATATACATATATATATATATATATACATACATTACTTAAAGATGAGCATTAATTATAGAACTTATAAGGTAATCTTCAAAAAGGGGAAGAAACTCCAATGAGTTGTAACTGGTGGTGCAACTGTTATGGTTTGGGGGGCATTATTCTTTGTTTGAAATCTTCCACTGGCATAGATTTTAACAAAAATGAATTCAGAGGATTCAACTCTCAGAATTTCAGGATGCTGTTGATTAAAAATGCCTTGGAATTGTTTTGCTTGTTTGATGTTATTGTTGGAATTGTTATGCTTGTTTGATGTTATTGTTGGAATTGTTTTGCTTGTTTGATGTTATTGTTGGAATTGTTTTGCTTGTTTGATGTTATTGTTGGAATTGTTGGAATTGTTTTGCTTGTTTGATGTTAGGAAACCATGAATATTATCAATATTTTTTAAAAATTTATTTTAGGTTAAGTGCAGAATATATTGTCAATGCCATTTTAATCACATTTTTTTTGTTGAGTTGTAGAAAAGATTCCACAAGAACCATGAAAGAGAGTCTGGTTGGACCTAAGTTCTCCTTTAAGTGAATCATATTTTTCCAATGAAAATAATATTGAAATAAGCTAAGTCAATACCATACATGGATATTACAACTACAACAGAGTCTTCTCCATTAAAGTTAGAATACATCAACAAAATAGAAAATGCACAAAAGTAAAGAAAAAACGTTTCAAGAGAACTAAAAAACACAAAGAAAAAAAAATGTATTTCTAAAAAACAATTATCCAAATAAAAATTACAAAGAATAGATTTATCCATAATAATATGCAACTGTTCCAAAGTTTATGTAGGTAAAACCAAAATTCAGGTAAACACTGATACATCAATTTCAGCTGAGCATTAACAAAAAGAAACTCTTTCATTCTGCATTAGCATTTCATTAAACCTTTTGCAAAACAGGAAATTATTTGGAAAAAAACTAGAACATTAAAGATAGAAAATATAAAGTTTAAAAGTTAATCAGGAAGGCCCTAGAAATACAAAAAAAAACATGTGCTCTGTGAGAAATGGCGAGATTAATCTGGTTGAAGGCCAATATGGCAAAACTATTTTTTAAATTTAAACAAAAAAGAAGCCATTCAATTGCTGGTGTCAATGGTAACAAATTTATGAGTTATAACATTTTAAAATTATTGCAATATTTAACAAGCTGATCATGCTGGTATCTATAACCCAGCAAAAATTTTTGAAATAATAAAATTATTAGTATTGAGAGAAATTGTATTTCTTGATGTTATAAAATAATATAAAATATACTCTCATACAAAATGCTATTTTTCAATACAACAGTTTAATTTTTATAAACTAATTAGAATCAACTTTACTGACAGCATACACCAACACAAATATTGTTAATAAATAAACAAATAGTTAAAAAAAAAAAAAAAAAAAAAAAGCTTTTTGATAGAAAAAGGTAAGGCTGATTACAAGATCTAAGTTATAATTTTTATATTTTAAATCAAATTTACAATAAATAAATAAACAAATAAAGTTTTAGTAAACAAGAAGGTTAAAAAGAAAGGAGAAAATTTTCTTTTTACTTCTGACATAAGGTTGTTAAATATAATAAAAGAAATAGCTCTTAATTAGAACCTCTTGGTAAACCTACTAAATACATTAATCAGATCTGCATAATCTTATGATATTAAAATTCATTTAATCTTTAATTAAACAATTAAATCTGTTATAATTTAGGTTGCTTTGAGAGTATGGGATACATTTTTGTTTGAAGGTTGTAAGGTATGTGTTGTTTTTATTTTTTTTTATTTTTATTGTGTTTATGTATTTATATATATATATATATATATATATATATATATATATATATATATATATATATATATATATATATATATATATATATATATATATTTGTTGTTTCACCTCCCCAAGGCCGAGAAGGCCACTACAGATGAGGAGGCTACTTAATTGTGGTTATAACCCTCTCTCAACTCTATAACTCTGAAACACGAACCTTGATGAACAAGGCTGCTGCGTGGAGAAACAAGATGAGCGCGGTACTACCAGGGACGTGGTGGGGATCGATTATTTCTGTCTATTTTTATATTAGTGGTGTTACGTAAACGTAAATAAAAAAAATCAAAGAGAAAAATGATTTGAAATTCGATTTAATGTTAAAATTTCAAATTATATATATATATATATATATATATATATATATATATATATATATATATATATATATATATATATATATATATTAGGGTGTGACATCCGCCCCCTATATTCTAAAAAAGATCTGTTCATATTCTTAAAGCCTTCTATTGGTTCTCACAAGCAACTTTATTAAATTTTTTCAAATTTTTATTGGATTTATGGGGAGCACCAGACACTTGAACACTAACGAGTTCCCTAATATATAAAAAAAATGTTTTTCAAAAGTATGTCATGTTGGGTCTCAAAAGAAACGAAATTATATAAAAATTTTAAAAATGACAATCATTTTATAAAAAAGTTACTATGTTAGAGTTTTTTTGCAAAAAATTACCTTTTTTAAAAATGAAAAAAGTGTATTTTTTTGATAATTATTTTTAAGAAAACTTTGAATAATAATTTTTTTATAAAATGATTTTTATTTTAAAAATTTTTATATAATTTCGCTCCTTTTGAGACCCAACATGACATACTTTTGAAAAACTTTTTTTTTATATAATATTAGGAACCTGGTAAGTGTTCAAGGGTCTGATGCTCCCCCTAAATCTGATAAAAATTTGAAAAAATTTAATAAAGTTGCTTGTGAAAGCCAATAGAAGGTTTTAAGAATTTTTAACAGATCTTTTTTAGAATATAAGGGGCGGATGTCACACCCTAATATATATATATATATATATATATATATATATATATATATATATATATATATATATATATATATATATATAACTACATATCTGATATTGTAGCGCTGATTGACTGGTCTTAATAGAAATAGAACAATAGAAAATTTATCATCGTTCTCATATTTATGGCCATGACTGTAAAATGTTTAAAAGGGTTTATAAATTTACCTTTAAATGTGAAATATCTTGTACTCGTATTTGTAGCCGTATTGCTCATATTATAACTCTTTTCAAATAAAATAAAAAAACTTTATGCATACGGAGATTGAAACGTTTATATGGGAGATCTGTTTATCTACGGCCTTGGTACGTTGTACATGGTATGCACAGCGCTTAAATATTATACAAAAATTGAATAGTGTTTTATATAAGTTAATTTACTCAACAGATTGGTACCAATTACTCGACCGGTTCTAATTTTTTTTCTTAATTTTTTGTAGTTTCACTAAGGTTTTTGTGTAAATTTATTATTTATATTTTTTATGGTATGAAGTAAAATATGGTCTTCAAATATAATATTTTTGGCCAACAAGGTTTAGTTTTGAAAAACAAGTTTTGCTTATGATTTAAACGGCAACCAAGGTTTTGAAAAACCAGTTTTATATAGTATAAGACCTTTATAGAAACAAAGCAAACTCAAGATTTCTGAAGTAACAGTAGTAGTGAAGCAAAGGTAACAGTAGATGCAGATCCAACAGAAGAAAAATTATTAGCAGTAGTGGAAAGATCAGCAAGAGATGTACTGGTAAAAGTGAAAAAGTAAAACAGTCAAAACCACATGAGGTTGAAGTAATAAAAATAAAGTAGAAGTAGTTGCATGGCTAGCACTATAATGTTATCATGATTTTTGTTTGAAAAAAAAACAACCATAAAACTGTTTAATAACAATTAAAGTTCAACCCGAAATCTAAGCTTTTGTCTTTTATGTAGTTTTGTATCATTTTTCATTTAGGTGTTATTCCGATTTGCACTGGCCGTATTTAAAATTTTCGAAGAAGATCTTCTTAAATGTCGAGAAGCAGGACCTTTGTTTTCTTTCTTTAGAAAAATTCCTCGATCAAGATTTGTCATTGACAAGATATGGGAAATTGCCTTTGTTTCTCTAAATCCATTTGGGATGAGAAACATCGAAGCGAAAAGAAGGTACCATCGTCCATTATTACAGGTAAGGTTGTTAAACATGTTTTTAATAATAAGCAGTCTTTACTTTTATTATAAAAGTTAACATGTGTTTAGGAGCAACTTAACGTCTTTGAAGGTATGCGTCATGATCACAGTTTAAAACGCATCGATAATGAAACATCAGAACAAGATCAGCTTAGCGACGATGAAAACTAAATTGTTTTATTTTTTCTAGTTTTTAATTTATGCATATATTGCAACTATTTGTAAATATATATATAAACAATTTGTCCATATATATATATATATATATATATATATATATATATATATATATATATATATATATATATATATATATATATATGTATAGCCTTAACCGTTTTGTCGAATTTTGTATATTTGCAGTTTTAAAAGAATGAGTTATATTTTAACGAGTTTTTTTATTATATTATATTATATAATTATATATATATATATATATATATATATATATATATATATATATATATATATATATATATATATATATATATATATATATATATATATATATATATATATATATAAAGAGAGAAATTTCTGATTTCAAATATTTATATATATACATATAAAGAAGAGAGAGAGAGAGAGAGAAACAAGATCAAAACATCGAAAGGCTGCTTGAGATCAGGCTGTTAAACGAATAGAAGCTTGGATATTTTCGTTACAGGTGTTTGTACCTTAAAATGTACGTGATTTTTTGAATAATTTTGAAAATAAAAAATAAAAAGAATTTTGTTACAAAAGCTTCTAAAGTTTAAAACGTTTAAAAGACGTTCAGAACTAGAGGTGTACTAAATATTTTTGCCGAATATACCGGATAATGAACTTTTCTCAAGTTCTTTAAATGTTTGTGAAGTAAAAACAAGTTTTGCCATTCTAAATTAAATAGTGTTCAAGATTTTAAAAAATAAAATCAAGAAAAACCTGGTATTAACAGGTATATGCGTTCATAATGTATAAGGAAAAATCGTTTTTACAGCAATTTTTTTTTTTTAATTACTATTTTCTATACTTTGTAAGCACATATCCCATGTCATACAGTTTTTTTTCTTGATTTGTTAAAGTAAGATCTTGAATACTATTTATTGTAGACTGGCAAGACTTGTTTTTTCTTCATAAACACTTATAGAACTTTAGAAAAGTTCAATATCCAACAAAAATATCCGGTGCACCTTTATTTAGAACGTAACTTTAACAAACGAATGCCCGTTGGACTCTGTTATAACTTTTTTTTTTTTTTTTTTTTTTTTTGCACAGTTTTAAAATATGACAAACAAAGTAATAATGCTTTACACCATATATAGCAGTTTAAAACATTTACTACAAAAAGAAAACAATTAAAGTATAACTAACTGTTTTCTAAACATAGTCGATAATTAAAGTAGTAGTATTATATGGTCATATATAAGAATAAGGAACCTTTCCATCAACTTGATTTACTTTTTTGAAATTAATGTTACATAAATGCAAATACGATAATAAATACTAAAAATAAATACCACCCCTAGTATTGAATCAGAGAGAATTTGTTTTGCTTGGGATGTGTGCTAAAGGTTCAGTTCGACTATGAACTCCAATGTTCTGATCTCTTGAGGCTACCTCGACAAAACTTATTATGTTCCAAATAAAATCAATTTTTTTAAGGTTTTGATGTTCTTTTAGTAAATATAGAACAACTGGTGTGAAAACATAATGTAAAAAAGTGTGAGAATTTCCTGGACGTTGTATATTGACAATAACGGCACTGTTGACAACAAGGGTATCTACATCTGGATGCACTGTGACAGACCCAACTACAGAGTTTCTAAATAGATTGTGATCAAACAATAGCTTTTTTCGTCATAAATACTGATACTGTTTTAAACCAAGCACTACAATTCTTTGTACATTAGTAACCACGGGTTCTTCAACTATTCTTTGTGAATCTTAGACAAGAAGGTCTGCTGATTCCTCAAGAAATGGATTACCAAGTTGCTCAAATAGTTGAATTAATTATTTACATTACTGGAAAGTTTGTTTTGAAAAGTTGGTATTTGTTTGTTGTGAATTGAATTGTTGGATAGGTTTGAGTTTGAAACCCCTAAAGTCTTTACATAGCTTTGCTACTTGTGGCCCAACAATTATTCTACGTAACAATTCTGATGGGTTATCAAAAATTCCGACTACTCCACTATCTTAATTAATGACCGCGGCATTTTGTTCATGGGTTTAAGCCACTATAATAACAGGCATTTAAGATGGGTTTAAAAAGTTCAATGTATTTTCGACATTTTTTGTGGAATATTTTATCACTGAAATCGTCTTTGACAAATCCTGAAAAAAAGGGGATAAACACAATATGAGCGGCCATGGCGTAGTGGTTAGAGTTCTGGCTCAGAAACCAGAAACCCTTTTTTGAAAAAACTTGTAACAGACTAAAATAAAGAAAGTTCAATGATGTTATTAACAATTTCTTCTAATAATAACTTTATATAACAAAAATAATAACTAACTTTATGCAACAAAATTAAAACTAAGAAATGACAACAAAAATAATATCTAACTTTATGCAACAAAATTAAAAACTAAGAAATGATAACAAAAATAATAACTAACTTTATGCAACAAAATTAAAACTAAGAAATGACAACAAAAATAATAAGTAACTTTATGTAACAAAATTATAACTAAGAATGAGTTTAAGAACTGCCAAAAAAATTGTTGAAATTCTAGATAAGATAGCCTTAGCACTAATTACTGATGGTGGTTACTAATGGTGATGGTGGTAAATAAAAATCAACATAACAGCTTCTAAAAAATAATGCTGAAGAAAAAAGATGCTACATATACCCTTTACATCATGATACTCTAAAAAAGCAAAACACTCGCCTAAGAACATTAATGTAGATACTATTTGGTACACATAAGGCTAAATGACCTTCTAAAACACATTCTTAAAAGGCTGTATAAAACTAAAGTGACGTTTAGATGCAAGGCTGGATTTGATGGTGCTATAGGACAATGTGTTATCAAACAGGTAAAAAAAAACAAAAATAAAACGAAAGTCTAACGAATGAAGAGTGCTTGTTTATAACTTAAATTGTACCATTAGAACTCAGTAGACTATGATAATAAAAACGTTGTAAAGTTGTTTATCCAGAATGAGAGAAAAATAGATTTATAAAATAACTTATATAGAGAGATGATAATTAATCTATAGGATGTCCATGACGTTTGAAACGTCGTCGACATCTGAGGATTTGATAATAGAGTTTCAAATCTACACCTTTTTAAAATGTAATTTAGAACTTGAAAGTTGTAATTAAGAAACTTAAGAGGTTTGAAAAGATGAAAGTTGTTTTTGAGAAACGAAAGATGTAAATTAGAACATGAAAGTTTTTATTAAGAAACTAAAGATGTAACTTAGAACATGAAAGTTGAAAATAAGAAATCGTAAGATGTAATTGAGAATGTAGTATTTCTAATTAGAAAAAGTTTATACTATAGATTCTCAGAACAAAGTTCTTTATATTATTAATTTACCTTTACTTATCTTGTAATTAAAGGTTAGTTCCTAATTCGGCCAAGGTTGCCTTTTGAGTTGAGTTGGCTTTCAATAAATAACAATATACTATCAATGAAATAAAAAAAAGTGATGTAAAAGGCATTTGCGGTTTTGATGGTAACTGGAAAATTCCTATAGGGTGTAAGTTAGAACTTTTTTTTGTTTGTGAAAAATTTCATTTGAGAAATCAGATGAATAATATAATATGAATAAACAAATAGTTTATTTACAAAAAAAAAAATAAAGATTTAAATTAAATTTAAACAATATCATTAAAAATAATTTTGGGTATCATACGTACTTGGCATCTTCCATATTTAAAATCGTTGTGTAATGCTTATACAACGTGTGTTGTGAAGCACGTGCACAATCGCTACCTATTGTTGTACTTTTTGCTGCAGTACCAAACCTTTCCAAATCTGCATTCGTTGTTCCACAATCCCAACACCGAATGATGGATTTCATTTTTATTGTTGCTCTTACTTTTAGGTCAGATTGTTTTCACCGAGTTTAACATTGCTACGTAGGGTCCGAAACATTACAACTGAGCTGAAGAATTTTTAAACACTCTTTGTAAACGAGCGTAAAATGAAGCATTGTCTGTTACGATGACCAAATCCTCTAACAGATTCGAGGATGTAACCCACTGGTGAAATATAACCAACATTTACTCGTTACAAGATTGAGCATTAAATAATCCTATGCGAGTTTCGATCATAACGACATTTGTTATTGATATAGCTGTAATCAAATGTATGTTTGCACCTTTTGATACAGGCATAACTATTGTTCTTTTTTCCTGTTTGGCACTTCCTTGCGTTTTTCTACAAGAAAGGGTAAATTTTGTTTCATTCAATTTCAATTATTTGATCACCATTTGTGATTTGTTATTTGATGATAAAATCTTCCGATAAAATTTGAATTTCCGAACCCAATTGAAAGCTAGTTTATATTTGACCCCTAAATATTGCGCCAGAGTATGTATTTCATGCCAACATATTTGACAATTTGGTTCTGGTTGTTCCAGAAGCGGATGTAAGCTAGTTTGGTGAAATAAATGCTAACACGGGTTCAATTTAATAGCAGACTTTCGGGTTATAGTGTATTGACAAAAAAAACAATGATCTTTCAATTTCATTATTACTGATGCATAAAAATGCTTAATTTGATATTATTAATCTTTATTTCCAACCAAGTAATAACTTTAATACAATAATAGAAGACTAGCAGTAAGCAACCCGTAATACGGGTTGTTAGTAAAAAAAAAAAACTGCGTATAGAAAAGCCTAGAAACTACTTTAAAATAGAAAAGCCTAGAAAATGACGTAAGTCGACTATTAACTACTTAGTGTATTAATATTATCAGAAGATCAAATATATAAAAAAAAAATCAAGTTATTCCTGTGGGTATCTAAAAGAATTTCGAACTTTTGCTTTGGTGGTACCCATAAGCTTGTGCCCAGAATAAGAATTGAAGCCATTTGATGCTTTTTTAAATGATATTTTTATATTTAATTTATATTATATTTATTTTATATTTAATTTATATTATATTATATTTTTTTATTTAATTTATATTATATATTGATATTTAATATCTTTAATATTTCTGCAAAGTTTTTTTGTCTTTTTCATTTTTCTTTTGATAATGGCCCAGTACTTTTCAATAACTCTTAATTCTGGGCAGTTTGGAGGATTTTTTGTTTTAGGCACAAATTTCACATTATTATTTTTATACCTTTCCAAAGCTAGTTTACAATAATGAATTGAAGCTAAATCTGGCCAGAACACAGGTCTCTTATCGTGTGATTTAATGAGAGGTAAAAGGCGTTTTTGTAAACACTGTTTAACATATATTTGATCCGAAAGTAAAGACTGAGAAATATAAGGTGCTGATTTTTTGCCACAACTGCAAATAGCTTGCCAAATTAATTTTAGCAAACTTGTCATGCTTTATGTATTTAAATTTCTTTTCTGCTTTTTCTCTACATTTGGCAATATAATAGACGGCACCAGGAATTTGCTGATGATCGTACTTGATATAAGTTTCATCGTCTTCAATCATACAGAAATTTTTAGAAATAAAATTGTCATGCAAATGTAGCGGGTTTTTGCACTTTTTTGTTGAGTTTCAGATCGGTTGGGCACTTTTGTGCTTTGAAAGAATGAAAACCATGTTTATTTCGAACTTTTACGACAAAACTATGAGAAAGTCCATAAATGTTTGCGCGCTCCCTTAGTGAAAGGCTTGGATTAGTCATAAAACTGTTAACCAGTTATCTAATAAGTTTTTTATCTTTAAAACCCTTCTTTCTTCCACCACTAGATTAACTTTTGATCGATTTTGTTTAAGAAAAACGTTGGATTACACGACTAACGGTGTATGGATGTATTTGCAACGTTTTTGCTATCGAATTGTAGCTACTATTTGGATTTTCCAAATATTTGTGCATAATTTTTTCTCTTATGTCTTCTTCTGTTGTCATTTTTAAAACTAATTTTAAGTTAATTCAAAAAACTAATACATTTTTTTGAAACCACAACACGTTGTAAACAAAATACAAAACAATTAAAAAGATTTTAATAAAACCACTGTAAAAAAAATGACGTACTTATTCTTTCACATTTATTTCGTGAACACGATTTAGGTAATTATAAAAGGTTTTCTGGAACATGAATTTAAATAAGTTAAAGAGTACTTTCACATTTATTTTGTGTACACGCTTTATAAGCTTCATTGTAAATTCGCAATTACAAATTATGTATTTACATATTACGGTTTCTTAATTAGAACTTTCATGTTCTCAATTACATCTTAAAAAAACTCGCGATTAGTTTTTTTTGTTAAAAATAAGTTTTATTTTAAAGTTTATTCTACCTATTTTTTTAAAAGGTTAAAAAAAAAGGTTAGTAAACAAGATGAGGGGAAATGACGAGGAATAACTATAATTACTTTTGTTCACCGTGGTACTTTAGACACCACGTGATGATGTTTAGACACCAGTATAAACATAGAAGAGCTTGTTATTCAATTCCATTGTATAAGTTTTATTTATAAATTATATTATTTTAAGAAGTTAACTAACTTGAAATTAAAAATTATTAACTCACGCTTTTAAAGTTTGTTAAAAAATATTTAATATTAGCAGTTAACTGAAATCTATAATAAAAATATTTTAATTAAGTGATTGGTTGGACATTTAAAGGGTTTTGGTAAAAAAAAAAAAAATTAAAATAATTTAGACCACCATGTCTAATATCCAACCCACTGTGAAATGTCTTCCTATTGCTTACAATTAACATTTTAAAAAATTGCTAAGAAAGGAGGCGTGAACTTTCAAGTTAAATGCAATCCCGTGGTACTTTGCGATAAGAGCACTTTAATAACCACAAAAGTAAAAAAAAGTGCACTTTTTTTTTTTAGTAAAAAAAAAAATAAGTAAATTTTTTTTTTTAAATTCAGGTTTCGAAGTTTTTTCTTCTTCGTTTAATCGAACAGATAAGCAGGCGTTTAACCAGAAACACATGCTTGCTTACAAATGGCTAGCCCTTTAATATCTCTTTAATTCCGTTTTTTAACTTCTATTCTATTTTAATAAATTTTAACTTTTACTTAGTCTAAATACTTAGTTAAAATAAAGTAATAACAAGCATCTGTTTTAAATAACAAGGTTATTTAAAATCCACAATTCTATCAGAAAAGAAATGTATGATGCTGCAATCATGTTGTTCACACGCTCTCAATTAAAACTACTCCCAATTTTATTACTAAAACACGACAAAAATACTTTAAAAAAAAAAAAAAAAAAGGAAAACTTTTTCAAAACATTCGTAATTTATACACTTGTTTTAAAAGATTCACTATTAATTGATATTCCTTTAGAAACGAACAAACTTTCGCGACGGTTGATATGTTTAAGTAGCTTATGCTTTTTTCGAAGACGAGCTGCATCAACTTCCTCCCGGTTTAAAACAAGATCAAGGTGATCCATTGTTTGTTGAAAGTACGGCGGAATACTTGTTTCTATTGTTAAATCTTTACTACCATCTAACCCAGGTATTCGTATACTTTTTGTTAAAAGATGCATCGGAAGTAGACCTCTTTGCCAAGGGCGGATTTTACTTGAACCTGTCTCCTCATTTTTTACACCACGCATTCTTAGCATTTGAATGAGGCGTATTGGCAAAGTTTGCGGCCCTTTGTTGGCGTGATAACGATGGTCGCCAAGTATAGGGCATTTTAGTAACTCGTATGCATGAACACGTATTTGATGCTTATTTCCAGTGAATGTTTTAAACAAACAAAGCATGCATGTATCTTGGTTTGAATCAAGTATCGTATAATTTGTTTCGACAGAGCTTTTGTTTATCTAAAAATTTAAAATGTTAGTAATTTATTAATTTAAAAATTTCTACAATATTTATGTAACTAAGACATATTATGTTACGTTAATGAGAATACTTTTAATTTTTTTATTCTCTGAGTTGATTACCGTATGTAAAATGAATTAATTAAAAAACCATTTTAACTGGTAGCTGAATAATTAGCATACCAGATGTCTTATTTAACTGGATAGATGATAGCATAAGGTTAACAGAAGGTTTACTTAGCTGGATATATAGCGTTACCTTACCAGAAGTCTTACTTAACTGAATGAATAACATAAGTTTACCAGAGGTTTTATTTAACTGAATGAATAACATTAACGAACATCATTAATCATCAAGCTTACTAGAAGTTTTACTTACTTGAATGATTAGTATTAACTAACATCATTAATCGTCAAGCTTACTAGAAGTTTTACTTAGTTGAATGATTAGTATTAACTAACATCATTAATCATCAAGCTCACTAGAAGTTTTACTTAGTTGAATGATTAGTATTAACTAACATCATTAATCGTCAAGCTTACTAGAAGTTTTACTTACTTGAATGATTAGTATTAACTAACATCATTAATCGTCAAGCTTACTAGAAGTTTTACTTAGTTGAATGATTAGTATTAACTAACATCATTAATCGTCAAGCTTACTAGAAGTTTTACTTAGTTGAATGATTAGTATTAACTAACATCATTAATCATCAAGCTCACTAGAAGTTTTACTTAGTTGAATGATTAGTATTAACTAACATCATTAATCGTCAAGCTTACTAGAAGTTTTACTTAGTTGAATGATTAGTATTAACTAACATCATTAATCATCAAGCTTACTAGAAGTTTTACTTAATTGAATGATTAGTGTTAACTAACATTATTAACCATCAAGCTTAATAGAAGTTTTACTTAGTTGAATGATTAGTATTAACTAACATATATGATGATATAAGCAAATACATTATTTAAGCACCATATTAATTATTATCAATTTAACACCATATTATTAACTTGTCCTAGTGTTTTATAACTAAATTTAACTTTTGTGAAAAATAATCATCAAGATTTGTCTATAAGTATCCCACGAGTAAGGAATATTCGGATGTAGTTGTATGACAACACTCTTTATTTTTGGGATGGTGGAAACTGCGTGGATGGTCATAACTTTAGATAACTAGATGATAAACAATAGATAATTAGATGAAATTTGAAACATGTTGATATATTCAAATTTAGTATAAGATAGTAAATAAAACGTATTATCTCACTTTTCTCACATTTGAGGTAGGGTGGGCAAACCTTTTTGGAATATTTTTGTTTCCAGATTTCAATCACAAAAATTTTTTGTTGTGATTGAAATCTGGAAATATTTCTGTTTGACATAAGCATGAACATACTATGCCTGAAAGTGTCTAATATGAAACATAAAAATTTTGCAACCACCCTTGATATATAGAGGGTAGGTGAAGATCTTTAATCGCGATGAAGGCAACTCACCTAGGAGAAGAAATATTCAGCACTGTCAAAATAGCTTAATGTTATAATTCAAGGGCAACAAAAAAAATATATATGAAAAAGTTGTAGTCATACAGAGATTTATGCATTTTAAATATTGTTCTCCTTTCTATCTATATCTTGATTTATAAATATAGTTCTCCTTTCTATCTATATCTTGATTTATAAATATTGTTCTCCTTTCTATCTATATCTTGATTTATAAATGGCACCCATCACTATTTGAAAATTAGAAAAAAAGTTCTGGGAAGAGCAAGATCCTTTAATACATTAAAAAAGTTATTGCTAAGCACAAGAAAAAGTTGTTGCTAAGCACAAGAGAAAGTTGTTGCTAAGCACAAGAAAAAGTTGTTGCTAAGCACAAGAAAAAGTTATTGCTAAGCAGAAGAGAAAGTTAGGAAAACAAAGGCAAACAAATTAGTAATGAAAAAATGATACTATAGTAAAATAAGCAAATTTCAATATTAGATTAATTATAATTAAAATGACACAAATGCGGAACATCCTGTTTTAATTAAATAAATAAAAACATTTTTAAAAAATTTCTTACTTACAGATATTTCATTAATAGTTTGTTTAAACTGGCCATTTCTTAAGGTTTCATGCAATTCCCCATTTAGTACACCTGTAACACGACTAACATTACCTAAAAGTATAGCAAGGTAAGACTTCTCTATTTGTCGATTCTCATGCAGGTCTGCTAAATATTTTGCCATCTCTTTTTTGTATGTGAGCAGCAAAACACCTGTTGAAAAATATTTGAAAATAATTAAAATAATTATATGCAGCAGAAATTTGAACTGAAAAAGTTTTATGCATACTGGAACCATTAAGAAACTGAAGTGGGAACAGGTAATGTAAACTTATTATTTTTTTTTTGATTAGTTTCATATTGTTTCAAAGAGTCTATGAATAAATAAATGCTTTGGATAATTTGAAGTTATTTTTTTATTTTTTAAAACCATTTTGCTTAAAATATTAACATTAGTAATTTTAAAAAAAAGAGCAATAGTAATATAAATAATATTGAAAATAAATATAAAGTTATTTTCAATATAAATTTTCAAAATATTTATAATAATAAGTAATAACTATAAAAGTTTATTTATTTTTTTTTCAAATAATGAAAAATAATTGAAAAAAAGTTTTACAAAATACCTGAAGTGTTCTTGTCTAATCTATGAGCAAGCTCTAAGCTTCCAGCAAGTAATCCATGCTTTTGCTCAAGAGCTGGCAAAAAATCAGCTATACTAAGTTTGATTTTTGGTCCTCCATGAACAGGTATGCCATAAGGTTTATGTATTGCAAGCAAACCATCTTTCATGTACAGTTTCTTTATATTGCTAACTGATAAACTTTGTGCTGAGATTAATAAATTTTTCCACCCAGCAACAGTGGATGTCTTCGCAACAGTTGATGTCATACTAAAATATTATTTTTCCACCCCGCAATAGTTTATGTAAAACTTTTTTGAAAATAAAAATGCTTAAATTTATAAATTGTAACAAAGTAAGAAAATATTATTTAGACCATTGAAAAAAAAAAAAATCAATAAAATTATTACAATTTTTTTATTTTTAATAAAAAAAAGCATCAAAATATTTCCATTCAAAAACAAAAAGCATAAAAAATTGTATATTTAAAATTATCTACAAGTTATTTGAGAGCTGAATAAAAAAAGCTCGAAAAACTAATAAATGTAAATCTTCATGCAAATAGCGTGTTTTTAGTATAAGTTTCGCTCTCATAGTAAAGTAAAATTTGCACATTCATAGTAAAGCGGAAGTTGTTATAATAATCGCCATTATTATTAAGAGTATAATTAAAAATGGCAACCAAGATTTTATAAAACCAAAAGTAGATGTATGTTTTCCGTAAGCGAACATTTGTAAAGCAAGATTGACATTATTCCATGATGTTTTTCCATTATATCCCATCAAATTTAGTGACATAGCGACATGAGAATGACAATTATCATGGTATAGATTATGCCTACGATGTGTGTATTCTTCTGATGCAGACATAACTGCATCATCCCAATTGTCCTTAGTTACTTTTGATGGATTAAATTGTAAATATTTTGTTGGATTTCCGAAACCAAATTCATCTTCTGAAACATAATATGAAGCTGAAAAGTCTCTAATTACACCAGAAGAATAAGCAATACCCATGTGCCCAATAAAGGGAAAAAACCATGTTAACACTGGTATTGGTGTCCAAACAATGCAATATGGATATCGATTATGTTTTGTATTTATTGTCATATCCACTATATTATTTTTTTGCTGAAAAATGAGAGTACATATACAATTATAAATTCCTACATATATGTATGTATGTATGTATGTATGTATGTATGTATGTATGTATGTATGTATGTATGTATGTATGTATGTATGTATGTATGTATGTATGTATGTATGTATAGATTAGACATTGTAAAAATAAGCAAGATAAAATTACTAGCAATGCATGAAAAAGTTGTTAATTAAAACACTTAAAAAATATCAATCTTCAAAAATCAAAATTTTTTAAGATTTAAAAAATTTTGATTTTTGAATATTGATATTAAAAAATTTTGATTTTTGAATATTGATGTTAAAAAATTTTGATTTTTGAATATTGATATTAAAAAATTTTGATTTTTGAATATTGATATTAAAAAATTTTGATTTTTGAATATTGATATTAAAAAATTTTGATTTTTGAATATTGATATTAAAAAATTTTGATTTTTGAATATTGATATTAAAAAATTTTGATTTTTGAATATTGATATTAAAAAATTTTGATTTTTGATATTAAAAAATTTTGATTTTTGATATCAAAAAATTTTGAATATTGATATTAAAAAAGAATAAAATAAAGAATACCAATCTTCAAAAATCAAAATTTTTTTGCCATTTATTTGATTGAGTTGTTCTGAAAAAAGTTTTTAAAGCAACAATGCAAACAAAAGATCCATAATTAAATATCAACATTTAAATGGACAAAAGATTTCTTAAAGGAAATAAGCTTCATCAAAAATTGTTTGATGAAAGTTATCTCCTTTTGTTTGATGTAGTTGTAAATGACAGAATGAGGAAACAAATTGATTCTACCCAACAAAGTGTACACAATAAAAAAGGAAGAAAAAAAAAAAAAATTTCTGTAATAAAAATTACTTTTTTGAAGATCATTTATTTAAATAATTATTCAAGTAAAACAGAGGAGGACAGAGGTAGGACAGAAGAAGTAAAAGACAGTACTAATCATCTAGCTTAATTGATGACTTTTTATTTTAAAAAAATCATTATTTACAAATAATGTTACTTTTTAAGAATACTTTTTAAAATAATAAACAATATTTTGAATTATATTTTATATAATTTACTTGGCAAAAATTATAATATAACTATAATTTTTGTCAAGTAAATTATAAAAAATTGGCATTCATTATGCTATTGTGAATTTATATTTATTTAAAAATGTTTTTGCATCTTGTAATTATCCAGGTTTTTTTTTTTTTTTTGACTTAGTATTCAGAAGAACAGAGAAAGGAAGACTTATTATTCAGAATTTAATTTTATAAATATAATATAATATATTACAATATAATAAAATAATAAACTTTTTTTATTGAAGAAGCCTAAAAAGCCTTAAAACTTTAAGTTTATAAAATAATCAAAGATTTAGAATACTCTAGAAATTAAAAGTTATATTTTTTTGAAACTTTTAATATACTAATTTTACTAATTTTTTATTAATTTTTTGCCATTATTTATCTATCATCAAACTCTTACCAAAAATATAAAAAATGACAAAAACATCATTTATCATATTATCAATTATTGCAGTAACGAGAAGAATTTACTGAATAAAATTTTTTTAAAATAATTTACAGATTTTATTTAATGTTAACCACAAATTTAAAGTTACTGGATTGACTGTGGTTTTGAATAATAAATTTTAAACAGGACACTTATTGATAACAGTTTGTATAACTGAAAGCATATAAATATCATTTTAAAAGAATCCAAGCTGAGACAAGTTGTGTTCATATTTTAAATTACAAATAAGTTTATAGTTGATTAAACTTACAAAAACAAATTATTTATAGAGATATTAAAAAAAAACTTTTTTATTTTTAAAGCCATATTGTTTTTTGCAAATGAAAGTTCAGGCGTGTTGATTATTCCTTTCAAAGAAAGTCTGGTCTGGTTAAAGCAGTTACCTTTGATTTCAATAAAAATGAGTATATAATAATAAGTAATAAAAAGTAGTAAGTTAAACTTATATTTTAATGTTTGGTTTTTTTAAATATGTTTAAATATGTTAAATATGTTTTTTTAAATAGGTTAGAAAAACTTTTTTTTTTTAAAACCTCAATAAAAATCTAAACTTATTTTCTTAGGTTTATTTAAATTAAACACAACTTGTCTCTGCAAGTGAGCACCCCTTTAATAAAGAAATAAATAGCCAATATGCCCAAAAACATCTCACCTGCCCCTGATAGTAAATCTTTTGTCTAAATTTGTTTTATATAAAGTTCAACAAAAAAACTCACTTTTATTAATGGAAGTTCATGTTCAGTTTCAGTAAAATCTTCAACACAATCAATAGCTGATTCCTCCTCATTTGAAGTTGATAAGGGAATAAAAGTGTCTTCTTTAACTAATTGTTTTGTTGTAGGCTGCTTTTTGGTCTTTACTTCTTCATCTGATGAGGCATTAATTGTATCATTTATTGGTAGAATACTATTTTTATTTTTCATTAGCAGAGAATCTTGTGAGGAATTCTTTATTTCTTTATTTTTTACTGGTAGAAAATCTTGAGAAGAATCCTTTATTTCATTGACATTCAAAGTACCAGGTAATAAAAACTAAAATGTTAAAAAGTATTTTTTTAATGAAAAACTGAAGTGAGATAAGTTCTTAAGTATGTACTGATAATAAACCTCAATAAAATACAATATTGACCATTAACTCATACTAACCTCAACATAGGAAACAGGAAATATTCCCACACAACCATTTAACTCTCCTTCTAACCAGTTTTCATCAATTCGACGCAATAGATGAATGATATCAGTTTTTTTAAACATGAGCTCTCTGATAAAAAAAATAAATCATCTTTATTGAGTTATTTAAAAAAATATATCCCCTGATATTATACACCAATATATATATATATATATATATATATATATATATATATATATATATATATATATATATATATATATATATATATATATATATATATATATATATATATATATATATGTACTGAAACTATTAATAAAATAATATATCTAATCTGTTTATAATAATTATACTTAAACAAAAATTTAAAAATAAACTTAAACTTTCCCATCTAAAATGAAATGAAATTTGTTATACCCTGGTCCCTCTGGATTAAATGAATATTTAGCTTGTACAAACTGAGATGGCAACTTCAATCTTTCTTCCTCTGCAAGTTGTTTTTTTTCTTCTTCCATTAATCTTTCATATTCTAGTTTATTACGCTCTTCTTTAATTCGTTGAACTTCTAATTCCAATTCTTTTTGATTTTTTTCTTCAGCTTGAGCAAGTAACCTGTCTAGGTTTTTTTGGTTGTGGAGTTTCTCTTCTTCTTCTTGAAGACGTTCTTTTTCATGCTTTTCTTGTAGCATTTCTTGCTCTAGTATTTTTTCTTTGTTTTTAAGTTGTTCTATTTCTTCTTTATTAAAATCATTAGGATAAATCACATTCTGAAAAAAAAATTAAATTGTTGATAAAAATTACTTTTAACTTTTTAATCAGGTAATAATATTTTTATGAGAAAAAAAAAGTTTGGTTAGGACAGTTAATTGCATAAATAATATACCTTATTCAAATAAAAACGGTAGTTTCAAAAAAGTTGATTTAAAAAAATGTAAACGTATTTATAAAGTGATCATCAGGATCAATGCAAATCTAGAGTATTCTATCAGGATCAAGGCAAATCTAGAGTATTCTTATTATGAAAACATGATGACCCAAAAACATGATAATATGAAGATATGCAAGGTCAGGCTAGAGGTCTTCTAGCATGATTTTGCATTTTGCAATTTCTTAGGAAATGTATTTAAATAGTATCAACAAAATGGCGTCAATTTAGCCCCAAAAAACATAAATCCAGAAAATGTACCACAACTTGAAAAAAGCTGTGACAAAATTGAAGTAGACATCAACTGAATCTGCTGAAAATTCCATATGGTCATTATCATTCCAGACAGTCTTTATTTGCTAGATATATTTTATATATCTTACTTTTATTATAACAATATTATGTCACCAACATAAATTAAGTTACACAACAATAGAGGCATCAACTTGCTTTAGGGAAGATAAATATCTTTCACAGAGTTTGTTTGATGGCCATTCTTTTTTACAGTGAAAAATGCTTGTGTTCAAATACCACTTACGATATTCCTCAAATAATTCTGCTACAAGTGAGTTGCATTTCTGATTTATGTGAAGATTTGACTTGCCTACTCAAACTCAGCAGATGTAGGCTTGTTATGAATAAAAAATGCGCTATGAATAAAAAAATGCATAATACATAACTTATCAGAATTTTTGCAACTAAAAAATTTTCTCTATTTGGTTTTCATACTTATGGAAACTTTTCAAACAACTGCAATTTATTAAATTACAGGTGCAAATTTGCAGAACACTTTTTTTCTGAGGTGTCAATTAGATGTGAAAGAGAATGAAAAGATTGTTGTCCATTGCTAAACTCTATAAACTCTATAATATAGCTAATGTATGTACTGAAGCCTTTGTAGTTAGCTCTTTTAGTATGACATTTATATATGTATGTATATATACAGTGCTCGATTAAATTAAAAATACCATACCGCCTAATCATTGTTATATAGAAATTTATAAAAAGGTGGCGGGATGGTTTATACTTTATAAAAAGGTGACGAGATGACATCACGCCTCACTTCAAGCACTGTATATATATATATACATACATATATATACATACATATATATATATACATATATATATATATACATATACATATATATATATATATATATATATATATATATATATATATATATATATTTATATATATATATATACATTTATATATATATATATATATATATATATATATATATATATATATATATATATATATATATATATATATATATATATATATATATATATATATATATATATTTATAAACAAATAAAATACAACTTGAGTAAAAAACCTGTTTTGTTGTTTCTTTAAATGAGTTTTCAATTGTCATACCTAAAAAAAAATTTTTTTTTTTTAAAGAGCATTTTTAAGAAAAACTTTAAAAATACTTATTGCTATATTAGGTGAAATTGAAGAATGTGGTTTAACTACATTAGCGATTGCTTGCTTACGATATATTGAAAAATTGTATTTATGAAAGTCAAGTAAATTTTCTAAACATTTGTATTTCCACCAATCAATTTCTTCATAAAGAAATTTAAAGGTTTTTTTAAAGGTTTTCTTTCAAGAGCATATAAAATATGTTCAGAACAAAATATTCAGAATGAAGTTGATTTTTTAGTTAATGTGTTTTCCCAAAATGGACATTCATACAAATAATTTTCAGATATCGCTAAAAATTATAAACTATCACATAAAAATGCAATAAACCAATAAATAGACCCTGGAAAAATTGTCATACTACCGTAGATACCGAAATTAAGCATTATACTTAAAAGAGAGTTTCGTAGTGTAGGTATTAAAACCGTTTTTCCCTATAGTAATTCTTTACTTAATATTTTGTGGCAATAAATCAACATTGCATCCTGGTGTTTATCAGTTAGATTGTTCATGTGGTGCGAGTTATATCGGCAAAACTAGAAAAAAAGTTTCCACATGTGTTAATGAACACGAAAGAAACATAGCTAAAAGTAACTGGAATGCATCAGCAATAGTTGAACACGCCCAACATTGTCATGGTTTAATTAACTTTAGTAAACCAAAAATTATTTCTATTACTCCTAATAACTATATGCGTAAGATTCAAGTAGCAATTCAAATACAATGCTTACAGTGCTCTAAATCACAGGAGTATATCTTAAACTGCAACAATGGTAACTTAGTGATGACACGCCATTGGAGACCACTTTTTGTTAAACTTAAGTCTAAATCTGCAACGTTGCAATGACATCATTTTTGTTTTTAGTTTTTATGAATTTTGTATAACAATTTTTTCAGTTTGATAATGGTTTATACTATAAAAGCCGAAATATTACCATTTAATAATAAAAATAATATATAACCGAACATGATGTTTTTAATCAATTAAATATATATATATATATATATATATATATATATATATATATATATATATATATATATATATATATACATATAAATATATATATGTGTGTATATATATATATATATATATATATATATATACATATATATATATATATATATATATATATATATATATATATATATATATATATATATATATATATATATATATATATATAAAATAAAATATATATATAAAATAAAATATATATATATGATATCAGTGGTGTACACTGATATCATATATATATATTTTATTTTGATGACTTTTAGATGTTTGAGTTTTGACACTTACAGGTATTGTGCAAACTCCAAACTTTTGTATGCTCATACTTATGTCAAATGAGAATGTTTTGCAAAAAGTTGTGGTGATTGGAGCTTGGGGACAAAAAAAAACCAATTTTCGGGCCCACCCAGCCCTTAACTTGGGAGCAACAAGTTGATAAAATAATTTTTTTAGTACTTTTATCTAAGTTTATATTCATCAAAAAATTTCAAATTGCATCCAATAATTTCTTTTTTTTCGAAAATTATGACCATATAAAATTTTAACCCCCCTCAATTTGAGGGGGCTGTAAACTTTGTAGGGTCATAAAAACTAAGAACTAAGAGGTTATTGCATGAAATTTGAAATTCGTTGATGAATATAAACTTAGATAAAAATACTAAAGAAATTATTTTATCAACTTGTTGCTTCCACGTTAAGGGCTGGGTGGGCCCGAAAATTGGTTTTTTTTTGTCCCTAAGCTCCAATCGCCACAACTTTTTGCAAAACATTCTCATTTGACATAAGTATGAACATACAAAAGTTTGGAGTTTGCAAAATACGTGTAAGTATCAAAACTCAAACATCTAAAAATCCAGTGTACATCACTGGATATATATATATATATATATATATATATATATATATATATATATATATATATATATATATATATATATATATATATATATTGTTTATTGGTTACTTTATAAACTCAAAATGAGATATTTTAAAACGAGATTCTTAGACTTAAAATAAAATTTTGCAACGTTTGAAATAAACAATCTAACAAAACTAGTCCAAAATTAAGACTTTAAATGCAAATCCGCAAGCCATTTTTAAACCAGGATACTTGAGATTTGGTAAAACCTCATTTCTAACCTAGACACAGTAACTGCAACATTACGCAACTCAAAATTCAAAAAAAAAAAGCTAAAATCGACCTACCCTACTGTGTGTATATATATATATATATATATATATATATATATATATATATATATATATATATATATATATATATATATATATATATATAAATATATATTTATTTTTTTTTTTTTTTTTTTTTTTTTCATAATACTACTTATTTTATTGATGAATTTGCTTGATATTTTTCATAATATTACTCATTTTATTGATGAATTTGCTTGATATTTTTCATAATACTACTTATTTTATTGATGAATTTGCTTGATTTTTTTCATAATATTACTCATTTTATTGATGAATTTGCTTGATATATGCATATACGGAAAAGCAAGCGCTAAAAGAAATCTTGATGCAAACTTGGACAAACTTTTTGATATTTCTGTGTGTTCCTGTTCATTAGATGTGTTTCCCTGTAGTGACAGAAAAGTTTCATGTAATAAAGAAAATTGCATCGAAGAAAATATTGTATGCCTTTGTTTTCAAAGTAATAAAGTACCTCTGGAAGACAGAGCTTATCTTCGTGATCAGAGGAAAAAAATTGGTCCAAAAGGTGCATATCAACTTTCTTCCGTCGATAGATTATCTGTCAAAAGGATTCAAAGACTTCATAAAGAACGACAAAAAATATCTCATAAGCTAGTTAATGAAGATGAATCCCTCATAGCACATGTAAACTTAATTGAAGAAACAAGTGGTTTGACCAATACGGAGGTAAATATTTTATAAATACATGAAATATTTGTAACAGATGAAACAGAAAGCGTTTTATTTTATTAACTCTTTTAGGATGAAGGTGAATGGAAACCAGTAAATAATCCTATTGGAAAATACAACTTAGTTAAACTTCTAAGATTTGCAATGGAATTAGTCAGAAATGAGTGTTCGTCAAACGTAGGTGCAGCCCTTGCAAATGCTTTATTGAAAAATGACGTTGATATTAAAGATATTTTGATTGACAAATGCAAGTTATATAGGGCCAAGTCAAAAGTAAAAATCGTTAGTGAAGAGGTAGACTCAGAACAAAAAAAAAACAGTTAATCTGTCTTGGGGTTGACAGCAAGCTTGATCAAATAACTAAAACAAGTATAGTAATAAACTTACCTCGAGGAGAAGTACTAAAGAAATGCATTGAACCTGAACATCACCTCACATTTACTTATGAAGATGGAAAATGGAGTGGAAATTATTTGACTCATAGGACGATTCCTGCCACCGGTGCTACAGGGTAGTTCTTACTACTGAAACGTTTAGTGTTTTACAAGAGCATAACAGTTTGGAAAGTATACAAGCTGTTCTTCTTGATAATACTGCTACCAATACTGGACCAATAAGTGGCTTAGTGGTAAAACTAGAAGAGTTTTTAAAAAGAAAACTACATCTAATTGGATGCGCATTACATCAAAATGAACTTTCGTTACGAGCTCTTTTTGTAAAACTTGATGGTGACACAACTGGGCCAAGAAGCTTTAGTGGTCTACTTGGCAAAAGATGTGCTGAAAATATTCATGATAGAAATCAAGTTTTGTTTAATCGTATTGAAAACACAATTGTAGATGGATATATTCCAGAAGAAATACTAGTAGACCTTAGTTGCGATCAAAGACTTTTATTTGAATATTGCAAAGGAATAGGCTTTGGTAAAGTTTCTGATAAATGGGCTGCCTATAAAATTGGACCGCTTAACCATGCAAGGTGGTTAACTCTAGCTATTCGCCTTCTCTGTTTGTATACTAGAGACAATCAACCAACTATTTCTTTAAAAAAACTTGTATGTTTTATTGTTCAGGTTTACTCTCCAGTGTGGTTAGATATAAAAAAATTTTCAAAATTTCACGAATCCCCGCGCCTTATTTTTTTTACTATCACTAGAATAAATAATCTCCCTTTTGATGGTGTTAAACATTGTTAAAAAAAACATTAAAAACAATCCATTGTGCCTAAAACCTGAAAATATTCTTTATGCCATGTTGAAAGATAATGTCAGCAAGATACGAAACTTTGGTTTTCAAATCCTACTGGGTCTAAGGTAAAGGTATTTTTTTATAGTAAACTAAAATAAAGTTTTGAAAAAAAATGATACATTAAATGTGGTAATTGGATTTGATTTATATTTATAGAGTAAACAACGAAAGTTTGGAAGTAAATTTGAACAAAATTCCAGAAATTAATTTTAATGCTAATCATGAAATCCCCGACTTTCTATCTCACTCCCAGAGTGTTAAGCGAGCGGTAAAACTTGTGTCGGGCGCATCCCAATATATTTATGGATTCGAGAACCGACACAGCTGCATTTTAACTAAACTACTTAGCAGGAAGATGTATAAACCGTATATTTCAAAAGAGCATTATTCCCATTCTTATAATGATATTTTTTAATTGAAAGTGTTTTCCTAAAATATATATATCCATAGCCAAAATGTTTTAAATTGTGAAAATAATGTTTATTTTGATATTCTTATGTAAATATAAGAATAAAAGTTCACTTTAAATTTTAATCTTCAAATAGTTAACAAGTTGTTATAAATTTAGCTTAATTGTTATAAACTATTATAAACTTAAATCAATCACAGCAAAGCAAATAGTATTGAAAAACATTTAAATATGAACATAGTTAAAACATCAAGCTTTGCATATAACGCTTTTTAAGGTGCTTTTTTACATAATCCAACAAATCTTAAAAATTAAATCCGCAAGCAATTCTTCTTCAAAAATCCTCAAATTTGAAGAGTAATCGTATTTTAACTGTCTACAACTACTGCAATATTACACAATATGCAGAATTAAAATCGACCTACCCTAATATACAGTCTTCTCCATTTGAAATTTAATGCCAGCGCACAAAAAGCGCTGGCAGGATGGTCTTTTTTAAGTTAGCCTGCGCGATTTTAAAAATTTGTTTTTTTCTACTATTTAAATTGAAATAAAAATAGAGAAAAGAATGCTTTGAATAAATACTAGATAAAATTATTTAAAAAAAAAAATTGTTAAAAAAATGCATTTTTCATTAAAGTTGAACAAATGAACAAAAAAAATTTGTGTTGCAATTTAAAACAAAACGCTTTTATTTTTTTGGCAAGCGCTTTTTTATGTGCTTGCCAAAGTTTTTGTGAGTGTGTGGGCAAGCGCAAAAAGACTTGAGCGCAAAAGCGCTGTAGTCTTTTATATATATATATATATATATACATATATATATATATATATACCAATTTTATTATCAATTTTATAAAATAAAATAAAAAACTAAAAGAAGTTTATGATGTTTCTCAATAGAAGTCAAAATAAACCATCACCATCATTAGTATTATTTATCAACACCAACATTAATACTATTATTTTTATTTATAGAGCTTTAAAACCTAATCACTTTAAAGGTTGAAACTATATTAAATTAGCTGAAAAGATTTTGTTCCATATCAAAAAACTTTAATTTGATATGCAACAAAATATATATGTTTATTATGGCACCTATTAACTAGAAAAAAAAAATTTAAATTGCTCTGAAATGTAAAACTTTTATGTCTTCTAATTTGTGGAGCGCATGGTGTGCAAATGGTCTGCGATTGATGATTAACTCTTTCTTGTATTTTTTTATCACAGGAGAGTTGAACAATTTCAATTTTTAATTTCAATAGTGAAGTTTCTTTTAAACCATTTTTGATTATCATATCATTATTTTTGATAATGAAACTTTCAGTAATTAATAATGTACTAATTTAAATTTAATTAGACCAACTAATAAAGTTATAAGTTAAATCTGCATACTCATAATATATTTAGTAAGTGACCAGGGCCAGGCCCCAGCTAAAAATGAAACTAAATCTTATAATTTTGCCTGGGCCGGATATAAATCCGGCCCAGGCAAAATTATAAGATTTAGCAGGGGTTGATAGCCTGGGCTAGAAATAAATTTATAATTCTTTATATATTATAATTTTATTCTTACACTTACTATTTATTAAATTCTGGCATATATTTATGCTAGTATTTAATTAATAGGGACAGATACAGTAAAAGGATGCAACTTGTTGAATAAGAAGCCAAACAAGAATGAGTTTTGGTTTATTGTAATAGAGATTGAATGTTTGAACATTGAACCATCAACCATGATTAGAGCATAAAAGAGGAAGGCTAAAGCTAAAGATGTCATCATCATCATCAGCAAGTAAACTTTGAAGAAAAAAAATGTAATTTAGGATGTATAAATGTTTATGCAGCCCCAGTCACAAACACGGCTGTATTTTATCAAACCCAGCCCTGGCTCCAGTAAAATATCGACCCTGGTCATTTACTATGCATATTATATGCAATACTGCATAGCACATTGCATAGGAGGCTTTGCTCTATCTATGAATGAGTCAAGTTCTCATTAAACTTAAATCATGTTAATAGTAAACCAAAATTTAAAGCATAAAAAAACCATCCCCACCAACTAACTGTTTTAATATATCTTTTACAAATATTCATGGTCTGCAAAGTAACCTTGCATAAGTTGAATCTTATAATCCTTTTGCAAAATTCACCAGACTTGCTTGCTCTTAGTGAGACTAATTTAAATATTGCTACTCCTTCTTCAGATCTCAGTGTTTATGGGTTCTATCCTAATTTGCAAAGACTTCAATAAGCACATGCTTGGCTTGGGGGTATACATATGTATCAATTGACCTATTTGTCATGAAATTGGGTTCAAATTCTTTGACCAATTTTTTATGTGCTTCCACTTAGCACACACATCACCTTTCTCTTTGTTTTTTATCGTTCTTTTTCTTACCAAGACAGCACTCTTTTAGATGTAATTTCTGAATTTACCATGCCCACTTACTTTACCCCTCTGCCAATATTTTTATTATTAGTGACCTTAATGCTCATCACACTGAATGGCTTTACTTTAATGCCACTGACCATGCTGGCACTAAAGCCTATAACTTCTGCATTTCTCAATCTCTTACTCAGATGGTTAACTTTGTGACTCGCTTTCCTGAAAACCATAATCATTTATCTTCACTCCTTGATTTATGTCTTGTCTCAGACCCTAGCTTGGGTTCAGTTTCTCCCTTTTCTCCCTTAGGTGGTTCTGAGCATGCAATGATTTTTATAATAAACTCACCCTATCATTGTATTACTTACTACTACATTAAAGCTGACTGGGATTCTTTTTGTGATTTTAACGGTTTTTGGGCTGATATTTTTTCTCTCTCAGCCGATAAATGTGCCTCCTATGTAACCTCCTGGATTCAGGCAGGAATTGAAGCATTTATTTTTACTCAAGATGAGCCTCATTCTACTCCCTGGTTTCAATTGCTAAATTAGCATCCGCTAAGGTTGTTTCTCTTTATTATTATTACTATTATTATTTATTCTCAGGAGTAAAAAAAATGGCTTCTCGCATTTTCTTACTCCTGATTCCATTTTCTACCTCTAGAAATCTCTTATTCGCCCCTGTATGGAATACTGTTGTCATATTTAGGCTGGTTCTTGTAATGATGCTATAATAGTTGGACCTGTTCTATCTGCTGAGCTTGAGCCTCTTTCCCATCGTCGTAAAGTTGCATCTCTTTCTTTTTTTCTACCAATACTATTATGGTCAGTGCTCAAAGGACTTATCATCTCTATTTCCATCAACTAAAACTCATTCTCATTTGACTTATCATTCAGCTAAGTCTCATTCATTTACTGTCACTGTTCCTGCATGGTCTAAAAATATTTATTTAACTTGCTTTTTTTCCCTGCACTTCAAGCCTTGTTGGGAGTGAATTAGAATAAAAATAAATATAAAATAATCACTTATGTAATTTATATGATCAGGTTTTGAATTGTGCATGCTTTTTAAAAATATTCATAAATAATAAATTACTCATAAAAAACTAATTATGTTTTAACCTTTTTTCTCAGCTTCAGATGCAATAAAGTTGGCTGCATGAATATTTGGTAAAGACTTGCGACGTTGATTATTTATTCTATGAAGAAACCTTTCTTTATCAAAATCAATTTGTTCTCAAAAAAATATATTATAGTTAGAGAATTTATATTTATAAAAAATTATTTTAAAAATTTTATTAAAAAAATAAATAAATATTTATATTGTGTGAAATTTCATTTATAAACATTGTAAAAAAATTTTACTGCTATGGTTGTTTATGTTTAAAATAAGCATATTTTATTGATAAAAGAAAGAAAAAAAAGAATACCTGCCGCTGCCTAACCTTCTTGGAGCATCTTCAACTGTTGGAGAGTTACACATATCTTCTGGAGAAATACTTCGAGGACTGTGAGCTCCAACAGAAGATGCACTTTTGGCATCAAATTTAAGCAATTTATATAAATGTGATTCACCTTATAAATTATAAAACAAATTTATAAACAAAATGAATATACATCTAAAATTTAAAATGGAAAACTAAAATAGCAAAAATAAAAATTTATATATCATAAAAAACTAAAATTTGTGTTAAAATTAATGTTAACAATTGTTTTGTATTTAAATTGTATATTGCATTGCATCAGAAAAAATGTTTTGTATTTAACTATAATATTGTATGTAATCATTAAGTTATATATTATGCATACCAGAGTTTTAGCCAGGAAAATATTTTATACAGCATTTATGTGATTTGGGAATTTAGGTATGGTAAATAATAAAGCAAAAAAAAAAAAAAAAGCGAAAATTTAATTGACACATTTCAATATCTAATACAATAGCTATTTAAATTTAAATATATATTTAAATACAAAAATTATTATTATTTTTTTAAACTTACAAATATAAAATTTACATAAATTTCAACTTGTAACTTATCTAACTTTCCTAACTTAAGATAACCAGAAAAAAATGTAAATAAAGAGTTTTTGAATAAAAGAATAAATAAAAAAAAACAATCTATTAAATATTTATATTTCTTTTTTATTTATTAAATAAATAAAAAAAATAATTCATTAAATTTATTGAAATATCTAAACTAGAGAATAAATGATGTCAATTAAAAAAAAAAGTTTTTTTTTTTTTTTGAATGAATGATCATTCATTAAATTATACTTAATAAAATATAAAAATTGAAACTATTTATATATAATATATATAAAACTTATAACTATTTACCTTCAATACTAGTGTTAATTTCTTTATACATCTGTTTGTACCAGTCAGGTGCTTTGTTTGGTGGTCCCTTTATAATAATTTTATAATATTATTTATAAAAATCAAAATCACAAAGGTATTTTTATTTTCCAACACATCAACATACAACACATCAACATACAACATAGCAACATACAACACAGCAACATACAATATATTCTTCTGAAACTTTGGTTCCCATTTCTAAAAAACATCAACTCATTTGGTTTTAAAAAATTAAATATGGTTAAATTGCTATAAATAGTTAATATTTCATGTTATTATAAAAAAAAAATTAATATAAAAAAAAAGCATTTTTGTTAAATTTTGGGCAAAGCAAAATATCTAATTTGTGCTTTTTGTTTTATTTATACATACATACATACATATATATGGATGATGTTTTGCTCAAAAACATTCTAAACCACATTTTTTGAAAAGTTAAGGTTGGAACCATATTTAACTTCTTGACCACTTTAAACTTAATTGAAAAATAAGTGATAAGTAATTAGAAGTAAAATTATCAAGAATATCATTAACAGGAACAATGCAGAAAACAAGGATGGAACCTTGAGGCACACCAAAAAAAACAAGGATGAAACCTTGTGGCATACCAAAAAAAATAAGGATGGAACCTTGTGGCACACCAAAAAATACTGGAAATGAAGAAGAGTATTTTTTATCAAGAACAACTTTAATGCTTTAGAAAGAAATGATTCAATAATTTAAAACTTTTTTCCAGTTTTATAAAGTCCAGCAGCATGCCATGCTTTTGTAAAAAGTCAAGAGCGAAAACCTATGCTTCACAGCCTCAATCTAATGCATGATAAATTTTTTTACTTTAACAGTTAACAAGTCAGATAGTAGTCAGATAGCACTCATAATCAGATTAACATGTCAATCAATAGAACATCAGGTTCAAAATCCATAATTGAAATAATCAAAAAGTAAGTTGTTAGCCTCACAATGATAATGAGATAACATCATTTATCTTATCTTAAAGATAAGATAAATGATGTTATCTCATTATCAAGATGAGATAAATGATGTTATCTTATTATCAAGATGAGATAAATGTTTGTTAATTAAATATTTGAAGACTTAGCTAATAGCACTAAGAAGACTGATTTAGAAATAGTTAAAGAGGCCAGAGCCTGAGACTAATAGACCTTAAGGCCAATAAATCTTTACACCGATTTCTCGCAATAATAAACAAGTTTTGTTCTCTCAATAATTGTTCTTGTGGAAAAGAAAAAACTACAAATATCAGCTTCATAAGATCCAGAAAAACACAGAAAGTGACTACATGCTATTCCAAGAAGTAACATTCCTGATAGCAAATATACTGTTGTTTGTTCTAAACATTAGCCTTTAAATTAAAATATATATATATTTATGGTAAGGAACAACCTCTTTTTTCCATCTATATTTCATTGTGTTAAGTCCAACCTTGTACCAACTAAACCACTAAATTCAAAGGTTACAGCTTCAGCAACTTCCAGTGCAAAAAATCTAAAAGATAATTTACTTGAAACATTTACCTTGGACAATTTTTTTTATAATGATGTAGTTCATATTTACCCAAAAAAAAGAAAGAAAAGATTTACTGATTGAATGATTGAAAAAGCTAGTTTTCAATAATTCAATCAAATGCGGTAGTGGTGTAGTGGTAGAGCGCTCGCTTCATAAACGAGTGGTTCCGAGTTCGATCCCCACCACGTCCCTGGTAGTACCGCGCTCAACTCGTTTCTCCGCGCAGCGGCCTTGCTCGTCAAGGTTCCTGTTTCGGAGTTATAGAGTTGAGAGAGGGTTATAACCACAAATAAGTAGCCTACTCGTCTGAAGTGGCCTTCTCGGCCTTGAGGAGGTGAATTAAAATTAAAAAAAAAAAAAAAAAAAAAAGAATTTTATTGTGGTCTATTAAAGTAATATTAACTTTATTGTGGTCTACCAAAGTAATATTAATTTTATTGTGGTCTACCAAAGTAATATTAACTTTATTGTGGTCTACCAAAGTAATATTAACTTACTTGTGGTCTACCAAAGTAATATTAATTTTACTGCGGTCTACCAAAGTAATATTAATTTTATTGTGACCAAAGTAATATGAATTTTATTAAAGTTATTATCTTATAAAATTGTTTAAAAAGTATTTTTATTGGTTTATTCTTTTAATTTTTTGTTTATTAGATTTATACAAAACTTTCCTTTTAATTTTCCTTTTTATACTTACTTTTGTGGATGCTTATGTTATGTAACAAGAAACCAAAAAACATGTAATTGATTGAAAACAATGTTTGAATTTAGTTGCAGGAAAAAACTTGAATTATCGAGGAAAAAACAAGTTCTTATAGAAAGTTTATCTTTTATGAAAATCTCTAGTATTGGTGATAAATTGTATTTTATACACTATTGTTTGTGCTTTTCCATATTTTGCTGTTTCAAAAGTACTTTATAAAAACTAAGAAACGATCACCAACATCTAAAGCATATAAATTGAACAATGATGAATTTGTTTTATGTGTACTTAGCAATATTACAGATTGCCAATAACAGTGTGTTTTAACAGTAGATAAAGTGTGAAATCTTTGTTAACTTTTAAGATTGGGAAACCTGTTAATCAACTAGACAAATTAGAAAAAACAATATTAGCTGTTATGATAAAATATTTATTTGGTGGACCTACTTTTTTAGTATGTATGCGGAATCATATGTTGTCTTAATTCAGATTTTCAGAATGAAGTTGTTAATTCTATACTTATAATAATTTCAAATGTAAATGGAAGCAATTATATTGCAATTCTATGGAACAATAATAGTTCATGTTAAGTTTTTCTCTCTCTTCGAAACGATAAGAAAATTGATAGCTGACTGAAAATAAGCTTTCATTCTAAAAAAGTTTATTGATTGGAAAATTTGTTGTGTATAATAAATATGTTATAGTAAATAAACGAAGGGCTGTTTTTGGATGTAAGAACTTTATGTTTTTTTATTAATCATATGATGAGCCATATAGTCAATAAAGTTTTATTTCCCGCTATACTTTTGTTGGATCTTCTGATTTTATTCAGTCATTTTTCACAAACATTGAGTCACCAGATGACATTTGCCTGCAACAACAAATGTGTAAAGTTATGGATTACCATAATGGAAACAAAAAAAATAAAACACCGACTCTTAAAACTCAGGATACTGGTGCTGCATATTTCATTTCTGCTAAAAAGTCTTGAAAAAAGTTGCACGCTCAAAACTACGTTTATAATATGATTTAGAATTTCATGAACTTGATAATGGTCATAGGCTGCAAATGCAATAAAAAATTGCCTTTTACTTTATAATTATCAAATTAAAAAAAAAAAAAAAAAAATTTACTCATAGACGGTGTTCCAAGGGGGGAAAGGGAGCCAAAAAGCCCAAAAAACTTTTTTTAAATTAAGTATTTGCAAAACTAATTGTGAAAAAAAATTGAAATAAGTTCTTGGCTCTCTCTTAACGCTTTAGAGAAACCTAAAAACCATTTTTTTTAAGATTTATTAAATTTTTTTTTATTTTCAAAATAAAATTAAAAAATTATATCACAACTTTATACTAATTTAGTTTAAATTATTATCTTTGTTTAAAATAATTCCCCAAAAAAACTATGGTCTTGACCATAGTTTAGTCTTTTTTTTTCACAATTAACAATTAGCATTGCTAATAGTTAAAAAAAAGTAATTAAAAAAATTCTAAAAATCTAAAAAAAAAAATGTTAAGGTCATTTTGGCCCTATTTTATCCCTTTGGAGCACCTGAAGAGCTCCAATTTTGATTTTCAAAATTTTTTAAAAATCAATAGCAATAGCAAGTGTTCTTTGGCTAAATGTTGACAAAAGTTTAATTGTTTTTAGAGCAGCACCAATCATATTTAAATTTGATAACTCCACTTGCTTTAAATAGCTTAAAATCCTTTTAAAATTTTGAATATCAGAATTAATACTATTCTTGAATTGGAACAAAACATTTGTTATGAATTGTTCATCTATCGTCATACTATTAGCTTTTTTGGTATTTTCTTTACCAAATGATTCAAAATTGACACTATTCAATATTTCTGCATTGTTTGATGTAAGTCAAATGTGCAACAAACTGTTTCCATTACATTTGACATACTGAATCATTGACATACATTTGACTGAATCATTGCTTTGATAGATATTTGAAGCCATATCATTAATGACATACTTAAATTTAGGTTTGACAAATATTTCATTAAAAACACTAAATCTTTGTCAATCGTAATGCTGCTTTTTAAGGGTAGACTTTCTAAGGGCTATTAAGGGTAAGCAGGAAAATCTGTTGCTTCACATCCCTTCTTTGTCTATAAGGGTGGCGTAGGTATAAACATGTGTTACATTGTTTCCTGTCTAGGATATTAAATGCTGTTTTTTTTTACTCAACTTATAGGCTTTTGCTAGTGCCTCCTTGATAGTCTCCATGAAATAAGCTAAAAAACTCTTCCTGTTATTTCCTAATGATGATAAAGCTCTAAAACTCAGTTTAATGACTTCCCAAACTCTGTTGTAGTTCTAAGGGAGGCTGATTCTATCAACAGCTTCAAAATATTGTAAAATAGAGTATTAACAGTGCTATATCACTGTGCTTTTGGCATGGATTGTCAAGACCACATAAGAAGTTACAACTTTGGGTTACTTAGCAGAACTGAGACAACTGCATAGAGTTTCCTGTGATTCCAGAGAAACAGGTTAACCCATTGTTAGACATCAGGCCTTGCGATAAAGCGTCGGGCGATGTGAATTTTATGTCGTCCAAAAGCGATTTTGCAAGTAGCTAGGGCTATTTGCGTCGAGCAAAAAATTTTTTGTTTGAGTATATTTAAAGATATTTTTGAGCGGAATTTTAATGAAGTAATTTACGATTATTTTAACATTTAATAAAGTATTTTAAAAACCGCACGCAGTTGAAATAAAAGTTTGAATTAAAAAAAAATTAAATATGCTCATAATTTACAAGTAGAAAAAATTCAGATTAAAAAAAAAGTTTTAATCTTCTAAGCTAACATTTTAATAAAATTATTCAGCAATAGCAAAGTTTTCGATAAAATTGAACAAAAATACTTTCTTTTAGTTTTAGATTTTAAACTTAAATAATTATTTTACGGGGGTTTGTTAGGTTTAAAAAAAATAATTTAAAAATATTTATTAACTGTTAGATATATTTAAAGTATTTAAGAGTAATTTCGAGGAAACATTTTAAAAATTGGTGAGCACAAATAAAAAAAAAAAAAAGGATTAATATTAAAACGTATTCTACTTGATTCAATAAAAAAGTACAGTTATTAAAATTTTTGTAAAAAGTAACTCAAAAAAATTACTTAAATAATAACGATCGCTTTTATGTTAAAAGTTACCGAAACTCAACAAAGCGTGCTCAAGAACAGCTGCTGAAAAATAAAATGTCAATAGTTTTTCAAATAATTTTTAATAATAATTTTTAAGAATAATTTTTTCGCTGAAATATTTCTTTTATACCTATAAGATTTTTATTCTAACATTTTATTTTATATTACTTGAAATAAAATTCCTTGTTAACATTAAAAATCTATTCAAAACGTTCGTTTAAGTTTTTTATTAATACGAGTGATTGTGCTTATCAACCGCTTTATGAAAATAAATAAAAATAAATAAATATTATATAAAATCGCTTGTAAAAATATTAGCTATTGCACAGTTTTTAATCGTACAATATTAAAATTTCCAGTTTATTACTCGCTGACTTTTTAAAAAGAAAAAATAATTATTTAAATTACATATTTAAGAAAAAAAAAATCAAATATTAGCATATTTTATAATCTTTTTTAAATTTAAGTTATGTTTTTTATTCGTTTAGTATAGACAAATGTCGAGAAAATAAACAAATGTTTTTACATTTTAAAAAACGAAACATTCCAAAACATTTTTAAATAATAACATTTCTACATAAACGATTTAAAGTAGTTTTGTGGTAATTAAGTAAATTGGTGCAGTTAATGTCAATAAATATGAAAAGCAAATAAAAAGAATTTAATGACATCAAAAATCACGTCGTGCTTATGCGTCGCGCAGTTCTTATTCATCGCAAGGCCTGAGACATCCAATCACAATTCCATTGGCCAATCAATCTTCCAATGGCTTCCATTGCTAAAGTTATTTCTCAATTAAACATATCTACTGCTTGTGCTCTAGACAACATGCCTACTATAGTCTTACAAAAAATTAAGGTCATCATCACTGGCTAACACTTCATTTCTAATAACTTCTAGGGTGCCACAGGATTCTATCCTTGGTCCTGTATTGTTTCTTATCTGCATTAATAATCTTCCTAATGATCACACATTGAAAGTGGCCCTACTTGCTGACTGCACAACTATATACTCCTGTCTTGACAAAAAATTCATCCCTTTTTGATTGCTTAGAACAGGCAGCTGATCTTGAATCTGATGTCTCCTCTGTACAGAGTCTAACTTTGTGAGTTTGAAACTCTGTGACACAATTATGTATATTAACTAGAACCTGAAATCTATTAAACTATGATTGACTAATTGTTCAATAGTAAAAGACATCACAGGAACCATCTTAACAGAACTTTATTGTGAACATTTATATACCTTTTAATTGTGAACATTTATGTATCTTTATGGTATTTATAAACCTTTTAATGATAATTTTAATGATAAAATTTTCCCTAAATATCTCTGGAAAGCACAGTGCAGAATGACATTTACGAAAAAATATTTTCACAGAAGAATTTTTTCTAATTTAACAAATTTAAGAATAAAAATTAGAAAACTAATTTGAGTGAAAATACGCACTAGTAAATTCAAATTTGTGTCATATACCCCACATACCTGAATATACCTCCATCATAATTCATACACCCTCACCATGTTTTTATCATATACGCCCTTGGTAGTGCTGCACTCAACCAAAGTGCAAAAGCTTCAAATAACACTGATTTACAAATACTTTATAATAAAGGTACACTGTTTAGACTTAAAAAGTAGACTTTAAACTATAAAAGACTTTAAACTATAAAAATGGAAGAAAAAAAACATCACTTTGAAACATAAATAAGGTAATGGCAAATTATCAACAAAAAAAAGAAAGTAAAATGTAATAGCCGACAGCTAAAAATAAACAAAACCAATATCAAAAGAAAAAGTTATATTTAAATAAACATATAATATATTAAAAATATTTAATAGAATATCTTCGCACAAACAAACCAAAAAAAAAAAAAAAAAAACCTTTCGTGATAAACTTCCAGAGGAGGTAACTAAGTTATAGTTGCTATTTCCATGTCTTGAATAATTTTTCGGCAAAGTCTTACTACGCTCTCTTTCAATAGGACCTATAAATGTGTGTATATATATATATATATATATATATATATATATATATATATATATATATATATATATATATATATATATATATATATATAAATTAGTAGAAAATCACTTAGCAAAATTTTTTCTCATTTAACACTGTGTTTCATCAATAAAGACTCATCAGAAAAGCATTTCTGATGAGTCTTTATTGATGAAACACAGTGTTAAATGAGAAAAAATTTTGCTAAGTGATTTTCTACTAATTTATATATATATATATATATATATATATATATATATATATATATATATATATATATATATATATATATATATATATATATATATATATATATATATATATATATATATATATATATATATATATATATATATATATATATATATATATATATATATATATATATATATATATATATATATATATATATATATATATATATAAATTATGTTAGTGTATTCTACAAGTAGAGTGCTCAATGTTCTTAAAGAACAGAGTAATAATAAATTAGTAAAAACATGCTTATCTAATTTTTGTCTTCAACAGCATGTTTCACCATCAGTAGGTTCATCAGGAAGATCTTTATATATATATATATATATATATATATATATATATATATATATATATATATATATATATATAATATTTATATATATATATATATAAAATATATATATATATATATATAAATAAAATATATATGTATATATAAAATATATGTATATATATACATATATATATTTTTATATATATATATATATATATATATATATATATATATATATATATATATATATATATATATATATATATATATATATATATATCAATTCCTGCTGGTTTAAGATAGTAAAAAATGTCACTAGTGATTTCATACTGACAAAAAATGTCTGCATTTAAGTTAATATATAAATAAGTTAGCATTTCAAAAAAATTGGTCTAAAACAATACAAGTTTAATACACTACATTATTCATATAATTTACATTGTAGTATCTATATCTATATATATATATATATATATATATATATATATATATATATATATATATATATATATATATATATGTATGTATTTAGTTGTAATAAATTTCTTTTTATGTACACATAATAATAATTTATTAAAGCTAAAAATATATATATTTTTTTTTCATTTAAGTTAATTTGGATTGGATACACAATACATCACTAATGGGATTCTATAGATATTTAGTGAGGCTGAAACAACCAGATATACATTTAAAAAAAAAATGTCTTGTGAATTACCAGGCATACTGTCAATTACTTCAGCTTTTCTTTTATTTATTTCCAAAAGACGTATAACAGGTAGTCGTTTATTACTTATTAAATCTGATATTTCAACATGATGTTCCTCATTTGATGTGGATTTAGGAGAAGGCATAGCTGTTGAATGATTAGGTGATGCTACATCTCCATTCAAAGAGGATGCATATCTAATTAAAAAAAGAATATAAATATAGAAAACACATTTGTTTTAAAATAGAACAAATTATGCATAGGAACTTACAACTGAGCTAAGTAAGTCACACCTTTAGCTAAGCTTAGCTCCAGCTAAATTTGGTCCTTTCTTCAACCCTGTCCCAGTTATTTGGTCCTTACCTCAACCCTGTCCCAGTTATTTGGTCCTTACTTCAACCCTTTTAAGTTTTAATAACTTTTAACTACCATATTTTTTTTTTAACTACCATATAAAATTGTAAAAATAAAACCACAATTCTTATGGCTATAGATTTTTTAAATATTTTAAAACTTTTTTCAATTTTCTTACTCCCAATTTATGACAATAAAAGTGATTCAAAAATTACTTTGACTTATATGCGACATCAACTTAAACACAAACTTAAACTGTATTTTAAAATTAATATAATTTAATATAACTTCCACATAATTTACATAATAGATTTTTAATCATCTTTTTTTTATAAAAATTTCAAAAAAAATCTTATATGCTATGTATGCTATGTTAATTATTTATTATAAAGTAAATTAAAATTTATTTTAAATAGCTGTAAATATTACAAAATATAAAATATAAAAGAATTGTTAAATAGTTTCTCAACATTTATTAAAGAAATCATTTGCTAATCCATTATCAAAAAACATAAATCTCTCCATCAGGCTTGCTCCTAGCTCACATGAGGTCTGGGCAAAATTAAATCTATTGACCCCTTACATTTAAATATCACCAAAGGTAAAATATTTTTAGAATATTATTACCAAAAAAGATCCTTAACTTTTGATTTTTTCCGAAAAAGAAACATAACTAAAAAATGTGAATTGTAATTTGTTTTATTATCTTTTATATTATCAGTTAAAGGAGAAAGTTAAAAAATTGCTTTCCTAGATTTTATTTCAGCAAAGCTGTCAATAACATATTCATAATTTATAGTTTTTGCTTACTCGTGTTCAATTGAAAGAAGTATTAAATGATTAAGCCTGTTCTGTTCTGTTGTTGAAAGTAAATAACTTTTTATTAATTTTAATTTGTTGACACTGATGTAGGAATGGTAGAGAGTAATTCCAAGAAATAACATATTTGAGAATATATATTTTGAATCCATTTTTTATAAATTTAATTGTGATTCTTATATATTTATATATATGAATCACAATCAATGAAATCATTGCTTCATCAAAAATAATTAACTCTAAATTTACTTTTTAGTGTTTTGGAATGGCTGTTTATCTGTAATACTGTCATGATATTTTTTTCTTCAGTTAAAGGTATTTTCAATTAAAACTTGAAGTTATTTTAAATTCAGCTGTTAGTTTCAATAAGGAAGCTACTAAATTTGGTTTCTAATAGAGCCATTTCAAGAATTTTTTATCTTTTGAATTTGTAGAGCCAATAGTTAAAAATGCATTGTACTTCATTTTTGGTATTTCATAAGTTGATAAACTTTGTTTCAGATTTATTAACAATATAAAAAATGCAAGAAAAAAATTTGGATAGCTTTGATTGTTTATGAAAAATGATTTTATTTCTCAGCTAGCTTCTATAGCGTGCACTCGAAATAAACTTTAAGAATGATTTTATTTCTCAGCTAGCTTCTATAGCGTGCACTCGACATAAACTTTAAGAATGATTTTATTTCTCAGCTAGCTTCTATAGCGTGCACTCGACATAAACTTTAAGAATGATTTTATTTCTCAGCTAGCTTCTATAGCGTGCACTCGACATAAACTTTAAGAATGATTTTATTTCTCAGCTAGCTTCTATAGCGTGCACTCGACATTAACTTTAAGAATGATTTTATTTCTCAGCTAGCTTCTATAGCGTGCACTCGACATAAACTTTAAGAATGATTTTATTTCTCAGCTAGCTTCTATAGCGTGCACTCGACATAAACTTTAAGAATGATTTTATTTCTCAGCTAGCTTCTATAGCGTGCACTCGACATAAACTTTAAGAATGATTTTATTTCTCAGCTAGCTTCTATAGCGTGCACTCAACATAAACTTTAAGAATGATTTTATTTCTCAGCTAGCTTCTATAGCGTGCACTCAACATAAACTTTAAGAATGATTTTACTCGACATAAACTTCTCAATTATTTTAGCTTTCACATTATTCTATTTTCCAGAAATATTTGCTGCATTATCATATCTTTGACCATAGCAAAATGATAAATCTAAATTACATTCTACCAAAACTTCTTATATTTTGTTTGCAATACCACACCTTTTTTCATAGCCATTGTGAGGAATCTTTCTTGTATATCCCAAGTTCCACCGTCCTCAAAAACATATCTTAATATGAATATCAATTGTTTTCCATGTAAGACATTTTGAGTATCATCTAATTACATAGTACCTACAACTATCTCAATATTCTTTAATGCTATCTAAATGCAGGGCTTCTGGCATGATAAGCAATGATTTTTTAACTTATAATGAGAGTATATAATCATGTTTGCTCAAGAGTTTCTGATGGAAAAAATGATGTTTGAGTGATTTTTTATAAAATATTTTTGATAAGAATTTTTTGTTAAGAATAAAAATTGTTTAATTTAACAGTAAAATTCTGTCTTCCTTTAATTACAATTAACAAAGCACTGATATAAAATATTAGCATTACGCCACTGGCTTTAATCTAGAATCCACGTTTCTGTTTAGCACTAACATAATGAATGAACAGCTTGAAGTTGTTACAGCTTCTGGAATGGAAACGTAATGTTAATAGAAAAATAAAATGCAAATAGAAAATTACTATACAAATGCAATGTGAATAGAAAATAACTATAAGAAAAATAAAACTAATATTTTATATCAGAATATTTTTTTAAAAACATCAAATAAGATTTATTCAATATATTGTTTGTAATATTGCACACATTATTTTAAATAAAAATGAATATTCATAAAAGAAATTTTTCAAATTAATAGTATATTACAAATTTTAGTATATTGTATAGGTTTTTATTACTTAATTCTCATGTTATAATAATCTCTTAATTTTTATGATAAAAACGATAAAAACAAAGTAAATTAAACATGAAATTATTTTTAAAAGATTTAATTTAATAATTAGAAAAATCAAAAATTAAGAAACTGTTTCTTAATTTAAAGTTAACATAACTAATCATGATCTGAAATTGTAAATGTTTTCTAATTACATTACTTATTTGAAATACTGGTAAGTGGTTAGAATTATTTTTATTTCTAATGCTTTCTTAATTCTGATTCCTTACGCTTTCACCAAGGTTTATTTTAAAATTCTTCCATATCTCATTACATTGTGTGTCAATAGCATATTCAATAACTTCTTTAAAAAAATAGTTTGGTGGCCATTTTTCTGACAAACAAAACAAGGCCTCATTTGTGAAATTCTGATCAATATTTTTTATTTTTAAATCGATGATACAATTATTTACAATTATTTTACTGTATTTTGAAAGGGCTAAGAATTGTCAAGGATTTAGAAATTGTTACATTTTACAATTCTATTATCATTCAATAATAGAATTATGAAATCAAGCAATCTAATTAAAATTGTGTTTAACTTTAACAATTAAAATACCATTATATCAATATAAAATATTTTCACTATTGTCACTATAAGAGCGATTCTTATAGTGACAATAATTCATATTATCGCTGCTTACAAGGAACTTTTATGTTATATTATCTTGCATTTAATACTCAGCTTTGTTTTAATTTTCACATGCACAATTTTCATCTTTTATTATTATTTTAAAAAAAAATTTACATCCTTCACTACATGTTTACATTTATGTGGTTGGGTGGGTTGCTCATTTTCTTACACATTTTGATTGGTTATCATATTTCGAATGAGGAATCTATGACAACGTTAGAGTTTATTGAAAACTATTGTCGTTTTGTTGATTTAAAAAATAAAATTTTAATGAGGTATACTGCTTTCTGATTGTCTGGGGTTTGTTTATGCAAAAGTACCTATTTGGTTTTATATTTTAAAATAAATTTATTAGTATTTTTGTGTTTCTATTAGAAATTCAAAATTTCTATTTATATTTTAATTTATTGTGTTTTTATGTTTTCTTTCGGTGGTATGGTAAGTGACTTATTCAGTTATTTTTATTTTTGTTTGTTTAGTAGATCTATACTTTTAATATCATATCATCAAAAAAATATTGGTTCTTTACAAATTTGGGGATGCTTGGGTTTTGGCTATTTGTAGTGAGTCCTGTTTTACTGCAGTATAGATTAGGCGTAAGTCGCGGGGTAAAGCATAAGCAGTCATGACATTTGTCTGACGGGATAAACTTAGTTATAAGTGCTGATCCTTATCAAAACGCCAGTAATAATAGACGCAACTCTAAGAAGATGTTTATTACTTAATCACTACACAAATGATGTTTATACATTAGCATTAATGTTTTTTTTTTTCAATTCTTATTTCTTCTTTATTCTTTTTCATTGTTGTAAGCATACTTTTTATTTTGTAATAAATTTTTTGTTGATGATATATTTGTTGCATATCTTCATTCATATATGTATTTATAAAACACATATATGGGGGTCTCTAGATGATCTGAACCATGCAATATGATTATTTATTTAAAGTTTTTTGATTTTGATAACTGTAATTATCATTGAAAGCGGGAAAAGCCTTTTTTATATACATAAACTATTTTATGAACTTTTTTAAAACTAAAAAAAAAAATTGAAAACTCTTACTTCTTTTTTCGTAGATATGTTTCATCAAAAGAAAACCACTTTTCTTCATCAATTAAATCACCCATTCTTTTTCAAATTTCAAATAATATGGATTATCTAAATATAAATGCGAATTATTCAGATATCATATTATATCTCTATCATATTTACAACTTCTTTTTTTAAATTTAAATGGTAGAGAAACATTAAAAGTGACTTTGACTTGAAGAAATGCAACTTAAAGTTCTGTGAATCTTTTTACTCCTATGAATATAGGTATAAAGCTTTTAATTATGAACTGAACGAAAAAAAGTATTTTGATTTTTTTGTCAAAAAAATCAAAACTTCTTTTTTAGATTGTTTACTACTTTTTTTGGGTATGACTCGATCTCTGGATTCAGTAAACAGTAATATATATTTAAAATTCAGTTAAATTAAATTTAAACTTTTTAAATCAGGAAATCACTTTAAACTAAATTAAAAAAAAAGAGTTTTGATTTTTTATTGTAAACTACAAAAAAATGATAGAAAAAAACTGAATGATTAACTTTTTTTATTTTATTTTCATAAGCTAAAATTAAATAAATTTAAAATTTTTTCTAAAAAGCAAAAAAAAAATTAAATTGAAAGATTTAAAATTTTTACTTCATATATATTTATTTAAATTTTTATTTCATTTATATTTAATATATATACTTTTATATACTTTTAAATTTATCAAAATTATTTTTTCTGTTTTGAAAAAGCTTTCACTTGCTTTCACAAGATTTCACTGCTCACAAGACTCATTCACAAGATTTTTGATTATTTACTAAAAATAGTTAATATATTGGACACAAAATTGGGACTTTGCATTGATGTTGAAATATATAGCATTTTTAATTTTATTAAGATGAAAAAATATTTTTTTATTAGAGTCTAAAGACAAATTTATAACAATAACTGACCAATTAAAACATGCTAGATACATATTGTAAAGTTTATCTAGACTATATTTTCAAAATAACATGCAATACTGTGATTAAATAAATCTTTATTCAAAACAAATGTCCTTCTCATATACTTCCATTTTAAATGGATTAAAAAAGATTTACTGTTATTACTATTAAATTTCTGTTAAAACATGTATTATAAAAAAAAATGTACTCAACATCTTTACTAAAACAGAAAGAAAAAGATAACTCTTAAAAAAACCATAAGCAAATCCACTAAAATAAATTTAAAAAAAAGTAAAATTCAATAACCACCATAACAATTAATAATATAATAATTAATAACCAATTATTAACCAATTAGTAAAACAAGCTTCATCATTTATATAATTAACTTGAGTTTAATCTTTTTTCTTAAATGCTAATTAAACATTACTACTACATGCAAAGGATTAAAGTTTCTTTTTAAAATAAAACTCCTTTTGTATTTTGACAAAGAAACATTAGAATAAAATTTATTTGATTATTTAAAAACATGTTTTAGTGTAGAATTTAAATAGGTTATCAAATGTTAAAGCAATGGTTTTATTGACATTTATACTAAATTAACAAAAAAAGATAAACATTACTAAGACTTTAAAAAATGAACAAATAATCTACCAATAAATTTAAAATACTCTGACTAATAAAATTTAAAAAGCATAATACCCTTTGCTTCTTTTACCTAAGTAAAAAAATTTCATTTAGTTGAAATTCATCCATTAACATAAGTTTATTATGATTTCTTTAACTAGAGCACTCTTTGTTACATTATTTGTTTTTAACAATATTTGTTTTGTTTTTTCTGGAATTTTATTGTTAGCTCAGCTGTTTTTAAATCAAAAGTGATCACCTGTAAATAAATACTTTTAAAACACCATCAAATTCTGTTTGGCATCAACACTTACTATAAAGCTCAATTATATATATAATGCATTTTTGAAATTTTTTGAATGTTTAATTTTGAGATTTTGAAATATTTTGAGATTTTAAAATTTTGAAAGATTTTGAGATTTTGAAATATTTTGAAATATTGAAAGATTTTGAAAATATGACTTTGATTTTGAAATTTTGACATTTTTTGAAATTTATCAAAAGACCAATTTGAAGTTCAAAAAGTAAAGAATTTTGGAGCAAATATTGATCTATACATTTTTATAAATACTACTACAATGTTTAAACAAAATGGATATATTTATAAAATATAGAAGAATAAACATAAAAAAAGTTAAATAATATTATTTAATAGATTTTATATACGTTTTTTTAAATTATTACAAATAAATTTTTAAACTAGGAAAATTTTTTTCCACATTAAAACATTTCAATGTTGGAAATTATAAAAATTTGGTTACTTTGTTTTGCCTTTGTTACTATAGAATAAGTCCAAACGTGATGTATTTAGGCTAAAGAATGGCTGTCTCTCACCATCATCATGTTTTAAAATATTGCTTTTATAATTTCAACTGTAAAAATTTATCACAAAGCACTCTGTAATAAATACAGATTAAAATGTATCTTAGTTATGTTCTTAAATAATAAAGTAAATATTATTCAGAAACAATTCAATAAATAAAAATACATGAATCCAAACTCTAACACAAAGAACAAAAACATTTTTGATTACTTAAGAGAAAAAAAAATTTTAAACTAAAGAAAACTTTATCATATTTACATATGATAAAGTTTTCTGATCAATTATATATATATAGAAAAAAATTTAATCAAAAAAATAAAGTGAGATCAATTACTCTTATACCACCCCTTGCCCCCACCATTATATAATTTTTGCTTGTTATCAAAAAGAAAAAAAAAACTACTCAAAACAAAACAAAAAACTCAGAATATATATATATATATATATATATATATATATATATATATATATATATATATATATATATATATATATATATAAATATATATATATATGTATATACATATATACATATGTATATATTTGTGTATATATATATACATATACATATATACATATATATAAATATACACTTACTAAAGCGTGTTTTAGTAAGGGTATATTTATGTATATGTTTTTTATTTTTTTTTTGTTTTTTTTATTCACCTCCTCAAGGCCGAGAAGGCCACTACAGACGAGGAGGCTACTTAATAGTGGTTATAACCCTCTCTCAACTCTATAACTCTGAAACACGAACCATGACGAACAAGACCGCTGCGCGGAGAAACAAGTTGAGCGCGGTACTATCAGGGGCGTGGTGGGGATCGAACTCGGAACCTCTCGCTTATGAAGCGAGTGTTTTACTACTACACCACTACCGCATAAAATTTATGTATATAAATATACATAAAATTTATGTATATAAATATACACTTACTAAAACACGCTTTTATAAGCATTTGCTCACTTTTTCTGCTTACCTTAAGCCGTACCATTTTTTTCGAAAAAGAAGAAAAAAAAACGAAGAATGATGAATAAAATGATTGCTGCCCCATCCCAAACCCTAAGTCGATGTAGCAGCACTCCACTGCGAGTCAGGCTATTTGTCAGTTGATGTATGTACTGAAGCCCCCAGCAGCAGGCTATTTCAGTATGGCGTCAGATTGCTTACTATAGTACGCAATACTATTTGTATATACATATATATATATATATATATATATATATATATATATATATATATATATATATATATATATATATATATATATATACATACACATATATATATATATATATATATATATATATATATATATATATATATATATATATATATATATATATATATATATACATATATATATATATATAAGCAGAAAAAGTGAGCAAATGCTTATCAAAACACGCTTTAGTAAGTGTATATATATATATATATATATATATATATATATATATATATATATATATAGGCTATAAAAATCTTCGATCTTTAAAAACTCATAAATCTTGCTTAGTCAAAAACTTGGTTGTCATTTGTCCTCTGTAGTATAAAATTTATATAAACATATTAAATCCTATTGATATTATGTCAAAACAACTGTTTAAAAATGTACATTTGACCGTAAGCCACACTAAAATAAAATTGTCTCACTCGTGTTCTGTGAAATGTTGCCACCTACCCTTTTATTATGATCCCCCCCCCCCTCCATTTATTAGATCTGGACTAAAATCCCCATTCTCCTCTTTTATTCCCCCTTCCTTCCTCTTCGTATTAACCTAGCTATCTCTTCTTTAGTTATAATCGAGTTATCCTCTAATTGTGAAACAATTAGAGGATAACTTGATTATTATATGCTCATTATAGTACCATTCAGTACAAATTTATTTTGTACTGAATGGTACTATAATGAGCAATTTTATTTTTTATGAAATATTATTCTCATTATGAAAATTTTGTTTTAGCTAGAAGATAATTTAAAAAAAAATTAACTTTTTTTTTATTAAAATTTTTTTTTTTTGAATGTTTGTAACATATTTATTCTAAATGATTTTTTAATGAGACACTAAATTTAATGAGATCAGGACTTAAAAAACATTAACATCTTAATTTTTCTTACACAATAAAAACATGTTTTTTTTAAGGATAAAAAGAAAATTCAGTTGATTATGCTTCAGAGTTACAGTTATCAGGGTTTTTTTAACAATCTTTGAATGAATTAAGGGAAGGTTATTGCATGACTTATGCTATGTTGTATTTAATAAATTGTAAACTACAAGTGGGTACAAGTAATAATAAATTAAATTAAAATAATAATAATAATAATAATAAATTGTAAACTATAAGTGAGTACAAATTATTATGCAGATGAAACCTTTTTATTCTTAAGTTCAGCAGGTATTGGTCTATTGCATATTTACAAAATTTCAGATTGACTGCAATATGTATTTTATGACAATCAAACTTTAGCTCAATGCTAATAAAATATTTTTTTATAATTATGTTCAATTAAATTAACTTGAATTAAATTATTGATCCTACTTCTCATATATAATTTATAAAATCAAAAAATAATAAGGTACAAACAGAAAAAAACACATCTAAACTTTTCATAATATTTGTGTTAATAAGATATAGACATATTAAAAAGTTCACAACCCAGAGGTAACCCACTGTTTTAGGGTGGTAGCCCTCCAACCAAAGAACTTGAAGTTGGCCTATTGATGAGAATTGATTTGGTTTGGTTTCACTTTTAAAATGCCACCAAAAAAAAATTAAGACATAAATATGCTACTACAAGAAATGCAAGAAAAAAATCAAGCAATTATAAAAAAAAAAATAGACGAGAAAAATGTTTTGATAAATAATCTTGAAAGAAGGGTAAATGAATTAGAAAATAAATTATGGCAAGATAAACTTAAAGATCTAAATAATTGGAGTGAAGTTGTAAAAAGAAAAGTTAAAACAAATAAAGGCCAAAATGGTATAATAAACACGGTTCTACATGAGGAAAAAGAACGTAATAAAAGAAAAAAATAATATTACTACATTTGGTGTTAAACTAGCAAATCATGATAATATTGACAAGAAAAAATCTGATGAATATATGGTAAAATTATTTTTGACTCAATAAATGCAGACAAGGATAAAATTAAAAAAGTAATCAGACTCATAACAACACGTTGAAAATACCACTAGTTATCATTGAGACAATGCATCCGACAAATTAAGTGTAATAAAAGCTGCATACATTAATAGAAATAAGATAAATAACATCTATTTTTACTCAGATATGACAGAACCCGAAAGAAGTCTCATTAAACAGTTAAGTAGTGAAATTGTTAAATGCCTAAATCAAAACGATGAATACTACTACACTATAAGAAATTTCAAAATTGTTCAACTCATAAAAAAAACCAAAACAATAGCATTCATCAATTTATTTGTATAAACCTTGGCTGTCTCTTCAACATGTAATCATGTATCTAACTATGTTAAATTAATATATAACAATATAACAAAAGTATTGTTATGCAAATCAATAACCAAATATCATATATGTTGAAGATATACAAATGTGACTTCACTAAACAATAATTTTTTTGTTGTTAGAAATTGCATCATACAACTCTGACATATTGATTGCAACCGAAATTTGGTTTAACTTATCAAGTACCATAAATGTAAACAGGTATAATGTTTTTCATAACAATCGGTCTAAAGCTAACTCAACTAAATGTCATGATAGAGGTTTAGCTAATTATGTTAAAAATAAATACATTGCTTATACTCTTTATGAGGAGGCATCTGAAGATGACAGTTGAACAAGTCTGGGGTGTCATTAAAACAGAAAATGAAAACATCTTAATTGGTAGTATATATCATCTACCAGATGCTACAGTACTTACAAATCAAAAAATCAATAAAATAATAAATATAGCAAAAAAAATTGTTGATTGCAATAAATATTCAGGTTTACTCTTAGCCAGAGACTTTAATTACCCAAATATAAAATGGAATGAGAATATCCAAATAGTATTAAAGAATGATAGACAGGCAGAAATATTTTTGGACAATTTAAATGACAACTTTTTGACTCAAAACCACGCAAAACCAACATTTAATTCAGGCACACTGTTAGAAGGCAATACCTTAGATTTGATTTTAACCGATGCACCAGAGTATATCTCGATCATAGGCTATAATCCTCTGTTGAGCAATTTAAATCAGATATTGTATTGGAATTCTTAAATAAACCAACTACATCAAAAACTTCCTATGGGAAATCAAAGTTTAAGAACAATTAGCCGGAAATTATCAAGAAATGAACAATTCATTCCATAGTATAAAATGGTCACATCTTTTCTCTAATAAAAACATTGTTGAATGTTACAAAATCTTTGTAAATAAATATCATTAATTATCTAACAGGTATATACCTAAAAAAGTCCATAAACACATAGCTTTAAAACCATGGATTGACAAAAAAAGACTGAAATCAAACATAAAACAACCTTATGGAACAAATTAAAATCAAATAAATTCAAGTCATCAACTTTTGTTCAACAATACAAAATACAAAGTAAATTAGTTAAAAACATGTGAGGTTAAAACAAATTGAATATGAAAAAAGAATAGGTGCAAAATTAAAAAGATCCCAAATTATTTCACAGTTATGTTAATTCTAATAAAAAAGTGAAAGGAGGAACAGCTCCAATGTCTTATGAATATAATAACATTCTAACAAATAGAGAATCTATAGCAAGTATTTTAAACAATCGTTTCAAATCAGTTTTTGTTAATGAAGATAAGCATAACATACCAAATATGCTGCAGAAGACTAAAATTATTCTAGAAGTAGATATAAACAATATAATAACTTGCCATACTATTGAAAATAAATTTAAATAATTAGATGCTTACAAAGCTGTTGGAGTAGATGGGATAAGCCCATATGTCTTAAGTAAATGTCATAGTACTCTCTGTGAACCATTAAATTTAAAATATGTAAAATCGTTGTCTGAGAAACAATTACCTGAACACTGGAAATCAGCAAATAAACCCTGATTTTTAAAAAAGGTAATATGAACAATGCATCTAATTACAGGCCAATCTCATTGACCTCTATCCCATGTAAAGTTTTTGAATCAATCATTTAAGAAAAAATAATGGATTGTCTAACAAAAAAAAGCTTATTAAATGAAAATCAGCATAGGTTCAGAAAAAATTGCACAACAAACCTATTGAAAACTCTTGATATCATAACAGATGCACTAGAAAATGGCCATACAGTTGATATGTTATATCTAGACTTTGAAAAGGCTTTTGATAAAGTACCACACTCTCGTTAGATCACTAAACTTCAATCATATGTATCGTGAGAAATTATCTAAGATGGATAGAAAACTTTTTAACGAACAGAAAACATAGAGTCCTTGGAAACACTATCTTAGATGAGCTACCAGTTATCAGTGGTGTACCACAGGGATCAGTTTTAGGACCACTGCTGTTTTTGATTTTCATTAACGAATGCAAAATTATACATATCGGGAAAAGAAATCAAAATGCTACATTTATGACTGATATTGATTGCAATTACAATTATACATTATGTAACACAGAAGCTGAATGTCATTTAGGCATAATGGTTCAATCGGATCTAAAACACTCACAAGTTGATTCAGTAACTAGCAAAGCAAATAGAATGTTAGAAATCATAAAGAGAAAACTTAAATATTTAGATATAAACATAGTAAAAAAGCTCTATACAACATCCATATATCCACATCTTCAGTTTGGCATGGTCTCCATTCCTACAACAAGACATAAGCAAAATTGAGATGATCTAAAAATGAGCAACCAAACTAACACCTACAATTAAAAATTATCTTATGAAGCTAGATTAAATATTATGCAATTAATGACACTAGAAGGACATAAAAATGTTGAATAAGATCTCCACTACTAGGAGATCTTATTCAACATATTAAAATTCAATAAGGCCATGATAAAATAAATTGGGTTACAAACACTTATTAAAATATATCAATAGAAGGTCATCAAGGGATTGTTTGAATTCACTGCCTTACTTACTTTGAGGTGCTGAATAAACATTCCTATTCGTTTATATAACACAAAAAACATTCAACATTTTTTCGAAGCCTTTTGGATCTTATTACAACTTTTTTTGCTATAGTTCTTTTGTTATGAATTAGTAAGAATATAAAAAAAAAAGTCAAGAGGGCAGGGAAAAAAGAATAGAATATAATTTTGATATCAAATAAATGGGCAGAAATGTTTGTTTTTTTCTGACAAGCAATGATTTATTTGCTATTATTATTTAAACTATAAAACTATTAAAAAAATAAGTTAGCTCAAAAAACAATTATAATAGATCCCCCCTTGAAAACATATTTTGAAAAGAAGCACAAGTAATTAATTCTAAAGAATTCTATATATAATAGTGTAATATATTCCACAAATGTATGAAATATTACAGTAGTTAAGAAATTTATTACCTCCTGTAATTTAATTTTTGGTATAAATTGAAGTTTTATTAATTTGATCATTCATTTCTCAAGAGCCTTTATAGATGAAACACAGTGTTAAAAAAATTTAATAAATGATTTACTACTAATTTATATATATAAATATATATATATATATATATAAATATATATATATATATATATATATATATATATATATATATAATATACAAAAAGTACTTGTACATTTAAAAATATATAAAATAAACTTCCGATAAGTTTTTTGATCGGTAAGATAGGAAGTTTAAAGTGATAAGGACTGATCTGCTGATCTAAATATGCAAGTATAATAATAAGTATGATTTCTTTTTTTTTTAATAATTTATTAAAATGCCTTAAGAAAACCTAACAGTCTTATCACAGAGCACAGTAGAAGATCATATTTAGAGTCAGAGTTGACTCTGAGCCGAAACTTAAATCACTGTATCATGGCTGCTTAATATATACATACACACATTTAAAAATTAATATGTTAAATCTATTTATAATAACTAATTATTTTTTATAATTAAGTAAAAAAAATTAAAAGCTATTTTATAAAAATCTTGGCATTAATTAAAATGCAAAAAAATTTAAAACTAAATTAATAATCATAAAACAGGCATTTTAGGCATCTAAAATAAAGAACAGAATGACTAATTAGTGCAAATTAAAATAATTTAATGATATTTAGCTTGTTAATTTAGGTTCTGCCACTTAATATAATTTTAAATTCAATGTAAATTTTATTATTCTAGATGTGTCTTTTAATGTAATAACTATCTATTTTATAAAACATTAAAAACAAATTACTAAATTTTATACTTTCATCGAAATCAATAAAAATCATTAGGCATAAAAAAGATTTAAAACTTCTGTTTATTTAAAAGAAATTTGGTTGCATTAAAAATTTAATATTATTATTAATTCCCTATTGCAATGTCTCCTTTGATATTGGTAAAACAAATAAAAAACTAATAAACCAAATAAAACTAAATAAAGCAAAAATCATTTAAACTTTGTCATATTTTTTTGTATAACAATATCAAATAAAAATAAAAAAACAAAAAAAATTATTAATACCTAAATAATTTTATTTATGAACATGTTTAAGACTTCCACAATGTAACACTTTACACAACATAGAAATCACACAAGTAAACCATTGCCTCTATTTGAAAGCTATACTAAATATTAACTCCCCATTCTGTAAATAAGTACACCATAAATTTTCATACTTTTTGTATTTTTCAGATTTGCTTTCTACCTGCTTTATATACAACTTTTTATATTTCTATCTAATTTTTGCTGCCTTTAAAAAATTTTCCCTTTTTTTTTTAATGTCATTTTAAAGTTTTAAACGAAATAAAACAACGCAAACCAAACAAATAAATTATTTAAATATATTTTTACAAAATTCATGAAAACTAAATAATAAAATTTATTTCAAATCTTATTAAACATATATTCTTACACTACAAGTAAAACTTAAAACTTCAAAGTAATTAAATTAATACAAAATACATCATTAAAATATAATTACATTAAATAATAGGTATAATTTATAAATTATAATATACAAATATTTATTGTTATAAGTAAAGCTAAAACAGCAAAATCTAAAAACAAGATTTTATCTAAAAAAACTTTCATTAAAGAAAAATGATCATTTAAAAACAACAAATAGTACGTAAAATTATTAACAAGTAAACATTAAACTTTTCGTATTTTTTATGAATACTTGTAAGTTGTCGTAACAGTTATTATTATTAAAAGCATGATTAAAAATGGCAACCAAGATTTTAAAAAACCACAAACAGAAGTAAATTTTCCAAATACAAACATTTGTATAGCAAGATTAACCATATTCCATGATGTTTTTCCATTATATCCCATCAAGTTTAACGCCATAGCAACATGAGAGTGACAATTATCACAACATAGATTATGCATACGATGTTTATATTCTTCTGATGCAGATGATATTGCTTGATCCCAATTGTTCTCAGTCACATTTGATGGATTAAACTGTATATATTTAGTTGGATTTCCAAAGCCAAAATCATCTTCCGAAACATAATATGATCCTGAAAAGTCTCTAATTATACCAGAGGAATAAGCAATACCCATGTGGCCAATGAATGGAAAAAGCCATGTTAACATTGGTATTGGTGTCCAAACAATACAGTATGGATATCGATTATGTTTTGTGTTGATTCTCAAGTCCATTTGTTTTTTTGTTTTTTTTTGGCTGAAATAAAAGAGTATATATAAGAGTATTATTCTCAAATCCATTTGATTTTTTTTTTGCTGAAATAAAAAAAGTATATATACAACTATGTATTATTAAAAAAGTACAAACAATGGAGGTAAAAAACTATGAGAGGAGAACTACAAATACATTTTTAACTTTGATAGTCTTGACAATATTAAGAAGGTGAATATAAAATAAATTAAAATATTTCAAAAGCATATTTTATTAACAAAAAAAGCTTACAATCTTCAATAATATAATATTTTTGATTTAAATTTTGTAAAGTTTATTAGAGATAATACCATCATTACTATCTACCATATATTTTTGTAAAATAAACACAAGTATAATATTTATTAGCTTTCAGATAATATATATTCAGATATATTTCAATTTCTTAAAACTGACTTAAAATTTTTTATTATTACTATGTCATTGTTATTTGTAATACTCTGTTTTAAAAATTTTTTAAATCCAAATTAAAAGCTTATACATTAGTAGTCTCAAAATTTAAGAAAAATTAGTTCAAAAAGTTATTTTTTCTTTAAATATTCTAAATATCTATTCTTTTTTTTTTTTTTTTTTTTTTTGATTAATCATTTTAAATTTTTTTACAGTTTTCACTGGATGAGCTATATAAGTTTAAAGGTGTTTAAAATATAATTTTAGATATTTTAAAATTCTTAAATCATTAAACTATTAAAACTATAACTATTAAAATTTTATTTATAATGTTAAGTAATAGTTCAATTCAAACAATAATTTATAAGTAAAAATTTAAACAACAATAAAAATAACATTAAAATCATAAGAATAATGAAAATACTTAATACAAGAGAAAATGCACGATTTTAAAAATCACCAATGTAAGTATAAAAAAGTATGAAACACAAACATCAACAGCAGACATTTGAAATAAAAAACATTTTCTAAAAACAGAATATCTTCAAATGCAGATGATGGTTTTTTTAAATTTTTATTTTATATTTTTAAATTTTTTTTCAAATGTACTACAACATTGATTTAACATTAGTTCTATTTAATATTAATTGCATTAAAAAAAAACAACTAGTCTTTGCAACCCCAGTGCAGTGACGGATCCAGGAGGGATAGGGGTTATGCATCCCCTCCCTCTCCCTCTCTCCACCACCACCACCAGAATCTAAAAGTTCTAAAATTTCTTAAAATTTAAAATCAATAAATTTTGATGTTTTTTTTTAAAAACATATACAAACATAGATTATTTTTAAAAATAAGAAAGGTATAGCTTCATTTTTATATAACTTTTTTGTATGGTTAATAAACTTTTTTATTGAATTTTTTGCTCACAAAAATTTTACTGATTTTCTCATGTTAAGATTTTGCCGATTAAGGCTGAGCTCAATTTTAAAACCCTATAGCCCATTTTCTACATCTATTTTCTTTGCACATGCCAAATTTCAGGAAAAAATATTATGTAGCAGATAGTTTTATAAATGTAGCACTTTGGGTACTTAATTTCTGTTTTTCAGAAATCGGTAACAGGGGAGAAGAGGGGCGAATTTGTTACAGTTGTAAAAATCTAATACTATTTTACTTAGATTATAATAAAGGAAGACGGGGGACATTAGACCACTTAGTTGGTTTTTATTAATTTACAACAAACAATTAAATTTTTTTAGCATTACAGGTAATGGTCTTAAACAAACAAATTAAAAAAATAATGTATATAAAATATTGATTTTTATTAGATCTACCACTGTTTTAAAAGTAAGCCTCAAAGTGGTTGAATGTACCCCACTGCTGGGGTAGTTTCAACCACCTAGAAGGGTAGTTTTGACCATATTATTATTAACAAAATAATAAGTCTATAAGCTTTCTATATATTTTAAAAGTTTTATTGTACAAATAAAAACTTTCCACAAAATATATAAAAACAAATGGTAATAGCCATTTTATAACAAGACTTGCAAAATTATACCGAAACAAAAATAATGATGCCATTCTTTCTGTCTTTGTTAGAGTCGCAGAGTTTAAAAGTTTTTTTTTTCAGGTTGATAACTTTTCCTATTTTTTTAAATTTTTTCCAAATGCAGTTTCTCAATCTTTTCCTTTTCAGGAATGTTATACATCGTTGGCTTGGTTTCCTCTTTATTAGTTTTGTCTTTGAGAAGCTTTAGGCAAGAGCCACACATGTTGTAAAATCAGTTTTTAATTGTTATAGCTATTCTAGTAGTTGAAGGAGGAAAGTATTTCATTGGTAGATAAGGGTGGTCAATTATTTTGTAATGGTGTACCTATTACTCCTAGACTTTCACTTGGTTCTCCCATTAGGGTTCTATTTGTGACATATCTCTGACTAAACTGTAATATTTAGCAGGGGTTTATAGCTAGGGCTCGAAAAAAATTTATAATTTATAAATTTTTTATGTTATATATTATAATTTTATGCTTAAATTTACTATTTATTACATACTGGCAATACTGGTTGGAAGTAAATTAGAGTTTGAAAATATATAAATATATTTATACATTTTCAAACTCTAATTTACTTTTAAGATTGCAAGCAACCACTATTAAGTTTTGAGTTATTTTAAAATAGAGAATAAGTAAAAGAACTAGGAAATGAAGACTGAAGACTCGAAAAGTCGCAGGTTGTATATAAAAGAAAAACATGAACATAGCTAACAGTTATAAGGTTTTTTTGATATGCAAGGAAAAAAACTGGATTAATAAAAAATTTTATAGCATAGGGACAGATACAGTAAAAGGATGCAAGTTGTTGAATAAGAAGCAAGCAAGAATGAGTTTTGGTTTATTGTAATAGAGATGATAGCTTGCTTGAGCATTGACCATGATTGTATTTGTAGAAAAAAGAAAAAAATGCAACCTTACAACAATGGAAGAGTGGCTGAAGCTTGGCAGATAAAGCAGGTCTTATTTATTTATTTATTTTTAATGTTAATTCACCTCCCTAAGGCTGAAAATGCCACTACAGACAAGGAGGCTACTTAATTGTGGCTATAACGCTCTCTCAAATATATAACTCTGAAGCACAAACCTTGACAACCAAAGCCGCTGCCCAGAGAAACAAGTTGAGAGCGGTACTACCAGGGACATAGTGGGAATCGAACTTAGTACCTCTCGCTTATGATGCGAGCCCTCTACCACTACACCATGACCACATTACATTTACAATGTGCTTTTAGACTTTTTCTGAGAGTAAGAGGGTTGTTATTCATCAATATAGGAATACCAACATTATTGCATTATTTTTTTTGCAGTAAATAAATGAGTTTTGTTGTCTAACAAAAATTGCAGAATTTAAATCCATAAGCCACAGCAAGCCTTAGGCTGTTACAGAAGAGAGATCAGATTAAAAATCAACTGCTTGTTCTAAGCAATCAAAAAGTGAAGATTTTTTGTATAGACAAAAGTGCAAAGTTGAGTTATTAACAAATAGAGCCACTTAAGATGTTAAATTTTCATGAAGATTGATATTATAGACAAAAAAAATACAGGAGCAAAGATTTAAGGGTACCACAAGATACCTTGTCATAAACTGAAAATAACAGAGCTTAACATCAGACAGGACTTTTTTACAATGGCTTCTTGGGATAATAAAAGGACATTTGAGAGAGATGTTCTTGTAAAAAAGATGAAATAAATGATTAATAAAGCAACTGTTCAAGATGGTGAAAAATAAGGAGTAGAATGAGGTTTGACTTAAAATTGAAGAGTAGGAATAAAGGCTTTCAAACTTTTAGTCCAGAAGGAATAAAAGCTTTTGAGATACGCTTTATGCATACACATTACAGGCTTTGACAGGAATGCCGTGCGATCCCACTCTTTAACTGACCACGCTAATTATTTTTTTCTTTACAACTTGACCACGGTTATTTTGATGTTTTAACAATATGAATGCAATAAAAAAAAAAGTTACGTTATAAATATCTTTTAATCATTGATCTTTTCTAAAGTTTTTATTTTACGCGAAGGCTTTAAATAAAACCATAAAACTAATTATAGTTATTGTTTACGTAAACGTGTAAATTAATAAAAAAAACGTTATATATAAGTTTTTTTTATGTAGACATGTATTTTTTATGATAAATTTTAACGTTTGAAACTATTTTTCCATGTCTTTCTAAAACATTTTTAAACTATTTTTGTAAGCATGTATCTTTTTGATTAATGAAAAAATTTTTTGAAGCTTTTTGAAAAAGCATTTTGTAATGATCATTCGATTAATTTTTATAATTAAACTTACGATTTTTTAAAATGTTTTAAATAAACGGTTTTTTTAAAAAAAAAAATGTTTTGTTTTTTTTTAATCTTGATAGGAATGAATAAGTTTAAATCTTTTATAATAATTTTTAAATTTGTTAAGCAAAGCGCTTTCAAATGAAGATATAATGCTCAAATTAAAATTAAATTAAAAGGCTTGTTGGCAGTTTATTTTATAACAATCGCAGGCGCATTTTTTTTTTTAATTTTTTTTACGAATAAAAAAGTTGAAAATCTTTTTTTTTTTTAATTAGACTAATTAGAGGATAAAATTATTAAAAATTAATATTTTAGAATGACTATGTTTTTTTTTAAGCAATTTTTTTTTGCAACTTTTTTGAAAAAATAAATGTTTATACAATTTAAAAATATCGTATACAACACTTTTTAATAAATTCAATAAAAATTGTCCATTTATTAAACAATCATTAGTAGTAATTTGTTATTTAATTTAAAAACGCTTTGCATAACTTTAAACATTTAAAAAGACAAGCTTTAATAACCTTTATTTCATACTAATTACAAACGTAACAAAAAGTTTCGCTTCAAGTTGAAGTTTTTATTATTATTTTAGTGCTTATATAATTTCTTATCCGTCACCAATTTGTTTTTCGTTTCTTTTTTCGTTAGGAGTTTGGCTTTTGTTAGTTATTTATTTTAACTTTTTTCCTAGTTTAAGTTTAGCTTAGCGTTTCTAAATTCAGAGCATACCTGAAATTTTTAAATCGTCAAAACATATAAACAATTGTGGTCGAGTTGTCAAAAAATAAAATCTGATATCACGGACATAAACATATATGTTTGCTATTTATTTAGATGCTGGAACGCAATATCCATTCATATTTATATAAACTTTAATATTTATATGGTGCAGTATTTGCCAAAAGAAAAGATGATGATGATGATGATGATGATGATGATGATGATGATGATGATGATGATGATGATGATGATGATGATGATGATGATGATGATGATGATGATTATGTTGATCATGAATTTTGAATAATATAAATTTTGAAAAACATTTTGAATAAAAATAACATGATTTTTGAATTAAAAAAATATACTTTGGGATGTATAAATGTTTATGCAGCCCCGGTCACAAACCCTACCCCGGCCCCTGCTATATTTTATCAAACCCGGCCCCGGTCAAATATCAATAGTTCAGGCAGTGAATTATTAAAAATACTAACAATTGTTTCTTTTACCACATTTTCATTTCTTTTATTTCTGTCTGTTTTTGTTACATATTTTCGAGGCATCTAAAAGATAAGAGAAATAAATTTTCGTGGTATTTTCAAGCACCGGTCGAATGTTCCCCAGCTAGGTAGGTCAAATTTATCCCACACATGCTATATATAAACAAACGCTGTTAAAAGCCGAAATCAATTTTTTGAAGTGAACTAAACAAAAAGGTTTTTAACTCAAGATATCATTAAATAATAAACACAAAAAAGTTTAGGAGATTTAAATTGGAAAAGAGATTCTCTGCAGATTATTTAAAACCTAAAAAAATTACCTTTTATATCAATAATTAGATTTTCTTCTATATAAGCACTAATACTAATAAAGATGGATCGATACTTGTTTCCTGCGATTGCTTATTAAGAGACAAAATATGCCTAAAAATTTAAAGTGGTAATTTTAATCATGCTGGGAAATATTTGAAAAGGTTAAATGTCCCCCATGGTCAAATATTCCCCGTCTTGCCCTACTTTTTAAATAATGGAAAACAAAAGATAGTTTCTACATAGTAAGTTCTTTTTTTATCATATGATTACTTTAATAATAAAGATTTTAATTAGATAAAGAATCTACTTAAAATTATTTTAATTATCAAATTTTATGATTTTTACTAGATGAAGATTTAACCAAAGATTTAGATATAATAGTTATATATATATATATATATATATATATATATATATATATATATATATATATATATATATATATATATATATATATATATATATATATATATATATATATATATATATATATATATATATATATATATATATATATATATATATATATATATGTATATATATATATATGTGTATATATATATATATAATATATATATATATATATATATATATATATATATATATATATATATATATATATATATATATATATATATATATATATTACTAGTTTTAATAAAACTAATTTTAAGAATATTAGTATAAATTATTTTTCAAAGCTAATAGTATTGACAATACTTCACTATAATGCAATAGTATTGACAATAATTCACTATAATGTATAGTATTGACAATACTTCACTATAATGTAATAGTATTGACAATACTTTACTATAATGCAATAGTATTGACAATACTCTAATAGTTATTTAATATTATTACTATAAAATAACTATTAAATTATTGTATTGTCAATTGCTCAAAAATTGTTCTAAGCAATCTATTCAAAAGTACTAGTCAGTCTTTTCATCTAAAATTGCAAAATTTTAATATTGACTAGTCTGAGTAATGACTTGCTTATTAATCAATTTCTTTTAGATTCCGAATAAAAGTCTAGAGAAATAAAACAAAGTAATATTTACATTATTTTTTAATGCAACAATTTTTTGATTATTATATTTAATTTTTAATTTTATTAAGTATTACCATTCGTAAATTATACAAATCGCATACTTTATTGATATAAACCTAAAAAATTAGCATGTAAATGTTACATGCCAATTATATATTACATGCCAATTATATATTACATGCTAATTTAAAAATAAATTTGATACTTATTACACTTATTATTGCTCTTAGGCCCATCTAGACCTGCTATGGCTGGTATTTTTATTATTTATCATTTTTTTTATTTGTATATTTATAAAGTTTCAACTTTTTTTAAATTTTCGTCTGTCTTATCTAATATTGAACTAATTTAACCTTTGATGACTAGTAAGTTTGTTTATTAGGAATTACTAATCATTAAGTATATGAATTGTATCCTACTAATCATTAAGTATATGAATTGTATATAATTGTGGCTTGCAAATTAGTACTGCTAGTTTTGTGGCTTGCAAATAGGTACAACAAGTTTTGTGGATTGCAAGTTTTTTTGATAGACAGTTCTGGCTTACCTTCATGTGGTGCCTATTGTTAAAAATGATTTAATTTTATTGATTAATAAAATTTAAAAATTAAATTTTAGGTTGCAATGGGTAATCTGTCCCTTTACATGACAAAATGAATACTCAGACACATCTTGTAATGTGGTAAAATAGTTTTTTGTACTAATTTCTCTCTAAAAATTTAAGTTTAAAAAATTTTTTTAACATTTTTGTGAAATTCTCATACATATTTTTTTTAGGTACAGGGCAGAGGGGGGGCAACATACGCTCCCTTCCATAAAAGCAATTTATACACCACTAGTAACTATTTTTCAAAGTATTGAAATTTAATTTTTATTTTTTATAATAGATTTATTTATTTTAGTAACAATTGAAATATTTAAAATAAACTTAGATAGGGTGTGTTAAGTCTTACCCACAACCCAACACCCAACTTTAATATAGATCTGTAACATTAGCTAGTGATGTGGAATAAAATAATAACAACTTGTTATATATAAATATTACTAATAAAAAAATACTTTTATGAAAAAAAAAGTGTATTTTTATGAGATGTAGGTGGTGGATTGGCACCCTCTTTAGATCCCCCAATGTACCCTTTACCTAGAAACTAGTTTAAAATTATAGCCCATTTTTACATCTTTCTTTTGACACCAAGTTATAGATATTTGAATAAGAATTGGCAAAGTTATAACAATTTATGTGAAAAAAAAAAATTTTGACCACATTTTTATCAAGAAATCCATATATTGAAAATTTGGCACTAAAAACATCCTAACTTTTTATAGATTTGTCTGACTTTTATAATTTTTTCACCTTTAAAATATTGTATGAGGGCTTTTTAATGATATATAACATTCAAGTATTTGATTAATTTTGAAAAAATCAGTCGATATACCTATCTATACACAACTTGAAATGATCAGGGTGGCCACTCAAATTTAAAAATAAAATTCCATGACTTTTCTATGACTTTTCCATGATTTTTACATGACTCTTCATAAACTTTTATGATAAATCACTAGAGTAAAATATTCAGTACTTGTCATCCACTAAGCATTTGCAACTTGTTCATTATAAAACATGCAAACCAAAATTAATAGGTAGAAAGTTCTGAAATCATGTCTGAAAAAAAAATTCTTATACTTCTCTATATCTTTTTTAAAAAGGACTTAGACTAGACATACTAATACTTCCTAAAAATATCACGTGAAAAAAAATAAAGGTCATTTTTAAAAAATTAAAATTTTCCATGACTTTCAATAAAAATTTAGGAATTCCATGACCATTTCCATGACCAAATAAAATTCCATGACATTTCCATGATTTCTATTATTTCCATGACCAGTGGCCACCCTGATGATGTTTTTGCTTTATTTTATTTTAAATAGTTATACTTAAATTGTTACTTATACTGTTTAAGCTAAGTTAAAAATTATATTTAAAAAATTTGTATAAACCAATACCTTGCTTTTTTGAATTGAATGGAATTATGTTTTCAATATTAATGCATTGATTTGCTTTCCAATGTGTTTTGCAATTCTAATTGCCATAAATCTAAAATGGAGTAAAATTATCCTGTTTTTATAATTGTCCAAAATCTAACCTATTTTTGATATATCGTTCAGCTTCTACTTCTATATCTGAGAGTAATAATAAAAATATTCTTTTTATTATTACTGTAAAAAAGTATGTAAAAAATATTGAAAATTCCACTAGTACAAGACTTATTTTAAAAAGACGAATCTGGAAAAATCATATTTTAGAGTAAACCGACATAATATTGATTGATCAAAATGTTAAACTGTTTTTCAATGAAACAAATCTTTTTTTCATTGAAAAAAAGTAAATTATTTTAATATAACAGTACTTTTTGATAATTACTCAGATAATTACTTTTATTTATTGACTATTTTAATTTCTACACCAATAACGCAATTAACGTTAATTAAGAGATGTTTTAGGATACAGACATAATGCAATACGAATGTGATATTGTTATTTTGATGGTAATTGTTAAAATGATGATCGAAATGCCTTCTTTTTCACATATTATGTGAAAAATATATGTGACATATATTTCAACAACACTTCTGTTTATTTTGTTTAAATTGTAATATGTTTAATTGTAAAAGTATTAGCTCTCTATTGCAATAATACAATGAACTACTTAATTTTTTAATTAATATTAATTTCTGCAAAAAAAAAAATTTTTTTAATATTTTTAAAGTCGAAGAGTTAAAAACGATTAATTTTTTTTTATAATTTTGCTACTTCAAAATAAGCTCTGCTCCGAGTTACATCAACTTAAGTTAATTATGCGAATCTATTTACGGCTGTCATGTTGGTTCACAAACAAATAAACATGTCTTTAATCAGAAACAAGTATTTTACTTGTCTTTCTTTTGAAAGGAAACAAAGATACTTTCATTAAATTTCTCAAATAAATAATTTAGATCCTTATAGTTTAGTGAAATCTGACTTGGTTTTTTCAGTAGATTTTTATCCTAAAATAAGTTATCAGTCTTGAAGAGGTCCTCCAGAGGAGGAAGGGGGCATGTATTCCCCCTCCCCTCAAAAAAAAAAAAGTCCTCAATATATGCCATTTGCCAACTATAGTTTAAAACTTGCTCAATATGCCAACTCAAATGCTTATATGACAGCTTTAAGGAGGGGGGGGGGGGGGGGGGAGGGGGGGAGCCGAGGCACTCCCCCCCCCTTCCCTTCGGGTTGGCCCTGATCATGATATAATAAATTATTTAATATTTGCTCTATTTCCTTTATCCTCTAAAGAACTAAATTGTTATAAAAGTTTAGAGTCTTATAGTTTGTTCTCTCTTCCTGGATAAAGGAAGTCGGTTTAAAGTTATTTGATAAAAAATGTTTGGTTATTGGAAAAGTTTCAAAATTTAATATCTGAATTTTAATTAAAATAGTTTAACTTATTATTAATGAACAAAATAAATCTATTTTTTCATATGGCAGGTTTATCATTCTTAAAAGCATAATGAAACAGCGACTTTGACATGGATTCTTTCTGAAATGAATGGTACGGTAATATATGTTCATTTTAACTGCATGGCTGGTCTTGGAGAGGCATGTTCTCACATTGGAGCAGTTTTAATTTATATTGATGTTGCAGTCAGAATTTATGATTCTAAGACAGTTACAGAAGAAAAAGCATACTGGATGATTCCATCTTTATGCAAAGATATTTCATATTCATAATAATTGATATAGATTTTACACCTCTCTAACTCAAAACAAACTTGATGCATTTCAATGTCAGCTCTTTTCTCAATTATATCCTCCTACAGTGTAGATTACCAGGGTGCAAACGAGGAATTAATTTGTTACTGCGTTTTGACGAAATTGGTATTTTGTCAAATCCCCCCCCCTCCTTTGAGATTAAAATGTGTTCTGGGAATGCGTATGGTCTTTTTCTTTTATTCTTTCTACTATTAGAAGACCATTGGCTTTCTCGGCGGAGATTTTTGATTGAACATAAATCTTTATGAATTATATAAAAATCTTTGATTTTTATTGAACATAAATCGCTATATTACTTTAAAAACCGCCCTTTTATACCCACCGCCCTTTTATAGCCAATGGTCTTCTACTAGTAGAAGACCATTGGCTTTCTCGGGGGAGATTTTTATTGAACATAAATCGCTATATTACTTTAAAAACCGCCCATTTATACCCACCAATTTAAAAGAAATATATATATATAAAAGGAATATATAGAAAAGAGAATATATAGGAATATATAGAAAAGAAATATATATATTTAAAAGAAATATATATATATAAAAATATATAAAAGAAATATATATAAATAAAAATTAAAAGTATACTTTTAATTTTTATTTAAATTCAATGGTCTTCTACTTTTAATTTTTATTTGAATTCTACTTGACGTCCTTTATGGACAAACCCTTACACCATCATGTAATAAATTGTAGAATCAAAGAAATGTTTTAAAAATAGAAAAAAAGAAAAGGTTTTGAAAATAGTAAACACGAGTTCGTAATATTGATATTTTTCATTTATTGCAAGTTTAATTTAATAATTAATATTAACTATCTTTATAAATAATTCGCTAAGCAAAGTAAAGTAATAATTACAAAGTCTCAGTAAAGACAACAACAAATATTTAATTACAAAAGAATATTGATCACAAACGATTGCACGCAATCTTTGCAACGAAGAGTATAATTATTTTTAACCGAAATTATAACCGAAAAAAATTAAATTTATGCCGTACACTATGTAAAAAAGTTTGTATCAAAAAAAACAAAAAAAAAAACAGTCCGAAGGTTCTATTTTTTTAATTTTTTTTTACTTAAAATCACGATTAATAGAAGATTTTAAATAAATACGTTGTTTAGGTGAAATAAACATGATAGTTTAAATATATGATCTGTTCTGATCATTTATTGGCAATTTTTCGTAATTGTAAACTCTTTCTTGAGCTAGGATCTATCGTAAATTAAGGCACTTTTTCAAAACTTTTTTCATTAACGTTGTTAATCAGAATTGATCTAAAGATTAAAAAATAGTGTTCTTTAGATTCACAAAAGGAGTAATAAATAAAATAATAAGAATAATAAATAAATAAGCTTTGAAAATTATTTAATAAATAGAAAAGTTTCTTTAAACATTTTAAAAACTTTAAGCAAAAAAAAATTATAACATCTAAAACTCTTGTTTGGACATAATACACTGACAAAACCATACAAATTCTAACCCAGTGAGCACAGGACGTAAAAAAAACGTCTATTAAACATTTTAAATTAATTTTAAACGTATTGGAAGTCTTTTGAACGTTCAAAAGACATCTTTTTTAAGTCCCGTGCCCAATTGGAAATAAAAGCCGTGTAACAATTAAATTAGCAGCGTAGCGCTGTGGTAGCGCACTTGCCTCAAAAACGTAAGATCCGTGGTTTAATCCCCAACTCTGGGCAAGTTTTGCGACATCGGTTGGGAAGAAGGCATGAACTTCCTATTAAATGCTCTTCCGCGGCGCTCTGTGATAAGACCGTAAGGACTTCATGGGGCACCTAAATCAACTTTAAAAGAAAAAAAAAGAAAAAAAATTTTAAATAATCTATAAATCCCCTTAATCAAAATTGATGAATATTCAACCAAAATTAATGAATTTTCAACCAAAAAAGGCGAAATTTTTATAGTAATTTGCTAAATTAAATCTAACAAATTTGTTAATTTTTTAGATAGTAATTTATTTCTTGCTATCTTTTTTATATAATATTTGCTGATGTCGAAAGGCATTGCAAAGAATTTGCAAAAATTGAAAAGTGAATTTTACAAGCAGGTTGCCGAGAAAATCCCTAAAGTCGCAGTTATGCAATTGCGTAGTGATACCAATAACGGCGGTTTTGTTCTAAGTATTACACAATTAATAAATTAGAATTTTTTATGCTTTTTTTATATTAGTACTGTTAAAAAATTCGCCGTAGAATCTACGGAGATTGTCCGGCAGCAAAGTGACAGTAAAAATTAACGGTTTCCGTAGTTTCTATTTTCCATAAAAATCAACGGAAAAAGTCCCTTAAAAAAGTGACAGAACTTTCTCCGTAAAATTCACGGTTTCCGTATTTTATTTTTTCCGTACAAAAAAACGGAGAATGTCAGGCAGCAAAGAGACCGTAAAATTTACGGTTTCCGTATTTCATTTTTTCATGCAAATTAACGGAAAAACTCTGTTAATTCAGCAAATAGACATTTATCAGAGTTTAAGCTAAAGTCAAAAAAAATGAATAGAGTTTATATGTTGTAATAAAAATGTAATTCGACTATTAAGAAACTACTTGTGTTATAATATGACACACATCAAGTAAAATAGCTATAATAATTATAAACAAATTATATTATATTATAGCGGTTATTATATATATATATATATATATATATATATATATATATATATATATATATATATATATATATATATATATATATATATATATATATATAATGCGGTAGTGGTGTAATGGTAGAGCGCTCGCTTCATAAACGAGTGGTTCGGAGTTCGATCCTTACCACGTCCCTGGTAGTACCGCGCTCAACTCGTTTCTCCGCGCAGCGGCCTTGTTCATCAAGGTTCGTGTTTCGGAGTTATAGAGTTGAGAGAGGGTTATAGCCACAAATAAGTAGCCTCCTCGTCTGTAGATGCCTTCTCGGCCTTGAGGAGGTGAATTAAAATATACATATATATATATATATATATATATATATATATATATATATATATATATATATATATATATATATATATATATATATATATATATATATATATATATATATATGTATATATATATATATATATATATACATATATATATTGTATATACTATATAATTGTATTTTATATACTATATAATATATATGATAACAAATAATATTTTATTATTACAGTAAAAAAAGAAAAAAGAAAAGAAAGTAATGTTGAAAAATTGTATGTAGAGTGAGCATGTAGAGAAAAAAGTATAGGTCAGAAGTAGATAAAGTTAAAGAATACATTGCAGGTAATATGAAAAAGCTATGGATTTTTATAGATTTTT